ACGCTGAATGTGCTGGCGCATTGTCGTGATGAAGAAACCAGGTTCCACTTCGCCATTTTTTTGGGCGCTCTTTACGAATTCTCTCTTTCAAACGTATTAATGCATCTCTATAGAATACCTGATTGACTGTTTGTCTATGGGGCAAAAATTCATAATGAACAATACGTTCAATATCAAAAAAAACAATCGGCATTGTCTTGACATTCGATCTCACTTGGCGAGCTTTTTTTGGTCGAGGGAAAATTTTGTTTTCCACTGAGATGACTGTAACTTTGTTTCCGGATCGTATCCATAAACCCATTTCTCGTCCTCTGAAATGATGTTTTTTATGAAATTTATATCAGCAGATCGATTTTTAAGGTCTTGACAATTCGTCAAACGATTTTCCTTTTGTTCCGATGTCAACAACTGCGGAACGAATTTAGCAGCTACCCTTGAAACGTCCAAACCGCTCGAAAGTAACGGAGCGACTTAAAGAATCGTTTCCAAAAGCAGTTTTAATCATTGTGTACGTTTCAGTTGCATTTTTACCAAGTTTCAAGCAAAATTTGATGCACACATGTTGTTCGTTAATTTTGGACATTGACGAAAACGGAGAACGAAACAAACTGAATAGATTTAACCACGAATAATATTAAACTGAGATAGGATAGCGACTTCGGGCTTGGTTTAAAATATTCTCTAATACGTTGGGAATACATCTAATTATAATTTAAAACGTTATCATGTATAGATTAGCCGCAATAATATTTGTCCTGGTAAAAATATATGATATTCAACAAATGTAAAATGTATGATTTTAAATGTAAAGAAATTAAACTATTATTTTATGGAAAAAATATGTTTAAGAATAATCATAACAATACAACAATAATAGCATTCGTTTTAAATATTTGTTATTATAAAACATTTTAAAATAGTGTATTAGTATAAAATTATAATATTTAAAATATTCATTACTACTATCATCATAACTGCTGCAGCTGCGATCAGAATCACATTCATTTTCAAATACAATTAACAATTTTTTGATACACGGATTTTTTTCTTTTATTATTATTATGATTTATGCTACTCATAACTGGATCTGATGATAATAACAATCTTTTAAAAATATCAGTATTTTTATTAATCCTAGATGATTTTCTACTAAAATGTTCTGTGTAGTTTTTGATGTCTTTATTACGAGCTTCTTGTGTCTCTTCACTCATTTGACTAATGTAGGTAAGTAACATAAACGATTTTGCTATTGAAGCACCATGAAATAAGATTATATGCACACTTGGTGGCATCTGGTACCAATCATAAATTTATGTATATAATATCTGGATAGTTTCCAAATGATAATTTCCAAATTGTTCGGAATTTAAATGATAACTACACAATAAAGTTTACACAATGGTCATCTTGTTATTTAACATTGTTTGGGTCGATTTCACACATATTCAAAACATAATTTAATGTTATTTCTTTTTTTTCTTCAATGCATTAGCTTGTAGTATTCATTACAATAATATCAGGATTTTGCCTTCATATTATTTTAGGAATTAAAGCCATATTTTGTAAGAATAAAATAGAATTTGTACACAATAAGATAATAGACTAACTCAAATTCAAACTACAACGAATCAAGCAAACATGAGCGGCTAAATATTACACACTTTAGTTCAGTATATTGTGGTTTAGTATCAGTATCTCTGTGAAGCCCGGTGAAAAAATTTTTTAATTTTATAGGTTTTTAAAAACGTATGAATTTATCTTTGTATTATTTATAGAAGTATACATTTCAACTACTATTATGGGTCGATAATAATCATAATTTAATAATTGGGTTATTAAATACTGTACGTAATCGTAATTCGTATATTATATGTATTAAACGATAAACACTATGATTGACCTTTATTTTATTTGGTGGAGACAAATTATATAATTATTATGAACCAAAAATCGCTTTATTTCTTAAAATAACACTTTTTATTTATTTGTTTTATTCCATTCATTTAAATACAATTTGCAATTATTTTTGTACAGTTTTATACTTTAAATTGTGTAGAAAATATTTTCAAAAGCAAAATTTGAATTTTTGAAAAATTCCAAAAAATGAGTTTTAGCCAGTTATTTTCATTTTTGGATCACTATGAGTCGTGTCATATTGGTTCCATAATTCTATGCTAAACGTAGGTAGTCTTCTGATTCTTCGTTTTGTTCAATGTGTCTTTAAAGTAATCTATTAATGGACGCAAAAGCTTTTCGTGTTCTATAAAAAAAGTTTTGTAACATTAGTTCATCAAATGTATTCTCGACATCAGGTACCGAAATAAAAGCTAAAGCCATTAATTGTATTATATTTAAAACAAAATCTATTTGAAATATATTTTTCATGAATATGTGGAATAGTTTACATCGCCATACACACTGCCCAAAGTAAAACAACCATGAAAAAAAATAGCCTCTAATTTGGACGTTTGTAAAAACACTAAATGCACCAAATAACGTTTGTTGAAATTCGACCATAATATTTATTGCAGACCCTAGGTTTTTATTTTAGTTTAAAAGTTCTCGTGCTATTTGATTGTACCTGTTCCGTGTTGTGTTTGGAACAAATGCAAATATTAAGAGCAAAACCATTGAATTGGTGGCGTGTACTTTCCGCCCGTGTGGTTTCCGCTTATAGGCTGCATCCGAGTTCCGTCCCAAATAAAAATTTTAATTTAAGGATATACTAGTTTCGTTCTGGGTTTTCAAAATGGATATACTAATTTTGTCCTGTGTTATTTATTTAGTTATATGAGTTTCGTCACGTGCAATTTATTTAGTCACACAGGTTCCGTCCCGTTTTGTATTTTCTACACTATATTCATAAAGTAGGTATACGATTTTATATTATTTAGAAATAAAGATAATATTGCTTTCAGTTATTGCACTAAATAACCGAATTTGTATACATTAATACTTTAAAATTATTTCAATTTTTTCTGTATTTTAACATTGATAAGAAAAATATCTATTTAAATTATTTTTTTTTTTATATCATATAAATTTAATCCAATAACAAATTTTAGATTATGAGTAGATTTTGGTTTACAAAAATGGTTTTTTTTCTCTCTATTTGTTAATAACTTTTCTACCAGAAGACATGTAAAATTACGATAACGGGCGGAAAAGATGTAGAACTTTAAGAGCACGGCGACGTTGGATTTAATAGCATGTATTGTAAGAAGCTGTAAACAGTTGCGGGGATGATTTAGATCGTGTAGTCCCATTTCGCCGACTAAAAAACCAGTTTTATACGGTATGATAAAAAATCCCATTTTGCCGAAAAAGCCCAGGTTTTTACTTTGTCTACGTATTATTAATGGCTAAATTATTATTACATTCCGTAATCATATCGCTGATAAAGTGAAAATAATAATAAAATTATACTCAGTTTATTTTTAAATCTACAATTGGATTTATATGCACTGTCATACTCTTTAGTCTGCAGTCATCTTTGCCGTACAAGCAACCTAACCGTATAATTTAAAAAGAGAATAGGTATGTCTTGGTATAAAATTAATTCAAACTATGACAAAAAGATATTAATACTAGATAGTTATATTAACAGGATTAATAAATGTAATGGGCATAATGAGCATTATAAATGTATCAATAATAATGTACAATAATATTAAAAAGTCATAACTCATAATCATCCGACGCATGGAGTTGAATTGGCACGACGTGAATATCGAGATAATCTAAGGGTAAAAGAAATCTATTTTTTTTAATACTATAGTTTGTTTACAGTTACATTTTTTTAAAATAGCAATATAAATTTATAAATGTGTGTACCTAAAATAAAATTCAAAATCAGATCACGTATATTAATTTTCTGTTCTGGTAATATAGTATGTATACAATTTTTTTTCAAATTGTTGGTATTATTTCCCATCACTTAAGAGTTCAGCTGATAGGTAGTTATAGGTATTATATTATTTTCCTAAAGTTCCTAGGTAAAATTTAATATCGTAAAAAATATAGTAGATATTCGGCGAAATGGGCATAAATCGATTTAGATGTACCCCAAATAACCCGTTTTTCTTACGTTTTATCCAGGGTTTTCCCTGATATTATTAAAAGCGCTCGAAAAATCAAACAAATTCTCTCCTTGAGTACCACCAATACAATATTTCCTTTCAGAAATGGTGCTACATGCAGACATCAGAGCAAGGTAGATATTAAGGTAGATATTTTTATCACAGTATAAAAAAAAAATTAAAATAAACATCATTGTAAAACCAATACATTTTTCGCTACTCTCAGAATCTCAAAACATAAATGTAAAATTTTAGAGCTGCTTGTTTTTTAAATGTTCAATAAAACAATTCCATACCTAATAAGTTAATACTTTCCGAGATAATAAATGTCTTACGATAGATTAATCACCCTGTAAAAATGTATAGGAGACCACTATAAGAAAGGTTTTTCTCATTTAACCCTAGAGGGTTAAATGATTTAAGATGAATATTAAATCAATAGAAAGAATATCTAACAAACGAAGACGTTTCAAACAAAATAAAAGCGAAATTTAATAAGTTAGCTAATATACAAGAATGTAGTTTAATATATATATATATATGTTATTATTTCTGATTGTACGTACTGTTTGTATATATTCACATCTTATCTGCATCAATAGTATATTTACTTTCCATATACACATAGAAAAGCCAGAAGGCTTCATAAAAGTTTACGGGGACGAAGTCTCGGGTAACAGCCAGTTTATAAAGAATAGGTATATAGCAACCATAGAGTTTATGATTATATATAAGTTTTGTACTTTCCAGCACAGACACAGATACGAGTCCATGATAGGAGTATAATGTACAAATACGCATCTAAATTAATTCTCACAATGAATATAGGTAGGGTAGCATGGAAACCAGATATCTATAGCTTAAAACTATTGTACACAAATATTAATAAAGGCATCTAGGATACTAGCTAGAATTTACCTACCTAGGTTATATTAGCTATATTAAATATATATTATATAGAATTAAAAGTGTATAACATTTAAGCATTTAATACATGTATAAATTAATCGTTATTTTTCTACGTTTAACACTGTATGTAAAATTATATGAATATAATATATAAACGGACAATACAGAATATTTTAATAGACATTACTAAATCATTAGACACGCAACTGTAGTGAACAGTAGTTAAGCAAAATATTGAAAATAATAATAATAAATGAATATAGTTGAACTCACCAAGTAAATAGGTAACCCTAATGTCCTTGATAAGTGTGTGAATTATTGAATAAATTTAAATTATACTATAATTTATACTGGTGTACTTCACATTGATTGTGCATGTACTCACTACCTACATGATTAGTAAACTGGTATCATGATTCATGGTTATTAGATAAAATTAACAGTGATTAACTTTAGAGTCTGTATTTTATGGATTAACCGTGAGTTGTTAACCTATAAACCATGAATAACAGAACTGTCGTCTGACAGTGGTAATTATCATAGATCTTATACAATTATAGTATAAGGTCTATAGTAATTATATATGCATTTATTTATTCTATGTTATCTATAAAAAAATTTAAATAAATAGTGGTGAGAAAACAGATACAATGTTTGTTGGAGATGAATATTGTAATCGAGGTGTTTAATTTGTTTTTAGAATACTTAATAAGTAATACTTTTAGGTCACGGGTGCCTTTGACTTTTTAAATTTCGTATCGGTTGAATTTTACGTTCCATGAATATTTTCGACATTACTATGGACTTACATAACCACAAAAGTTCGGTAGTTCGAAACATAGAATATTCTATAGTTCGAAAACTGACATTACCGCAAATTAGATCGATTTTTACGTTGTTATTCATAATTAATTATTTTACTAATACTTTTGTATATTCCGCCACAAATATGTCCATCAATCCAGTTGTTATATCTTCATCTGTTAAACAAACGGCAACTGTAAGTATATTATTACACATCTATAAATTATAATAGTTTTAATATTCGATTTCGTTGAACATAATAAAAAAAAAAAATAACAATGAATAGGTACCTAAGAAGTTTCTGCAATTGTATAGTTGTTATGTATGTATATTAAAGCGTAGGTCTTTGCTATTGTGTATACCTACGATAATTATTGTGTAAAAATTACATCTAATGATCTATGTGTTTTATATTTCCTTATTTAAAAAAAAGTTTTATTCTGGAAATTTAAAATTGTTACTATTATAAAATATGTTATGGATAAGTATATTGTATATTATTTGTATATATACAAAATATTATTGTAATGTATTATATTATAATTTTACTAAAAATGAAATACCTATAATTCTTATTTTTATTATTTAGGTCATATTTCTTCATGGTCTTGGAGATTCAGGGTACGTCATTTGTTTTTTACAATTTATTTAGCTTACAGATAACTTTTTTTTAAAATTTAATATCAATAGTTCATTTGGTTAAATTATTTTAATTTTCAATGTTAAAAATAACAATTTGTATAGTAATACATTTACTTCATCAATATTTATTTATTTAATTATTTATTTATTTTGTGTTTTTGTTATTAAAGGTTTCATCAAATATCGGTATGCTGTTAGATATACATACTTACTTAAACTTTAGTTTCCAATTTTATTTTGAGTTAAAATTATTTTTAATATCAAGACTTTTTTTTTATTATTTGTTTAATAATAATTTGTATGATAATTATCTATTTTAATTTTTGATTTTTAGAAATGGTTGGGCGGAAGCAATGACTCAAATAAGACAGCCATATATGAAAATAGTATGCCCATCTGCGTAAGTTTTATTTAATTAATATTGTTGCATGATTTTATGTTAGTGTAATATTTATAGGAGTCCATTGGCAGTAAGTCTAAACCAAGGTTTTCGTATGCCTTCATGGTTCGACTTATTTACATTAGACGAATCGGGTCCAGAAGATGAACGTGGAATCAAAGAAGCTGCTCAATTAGTGCATTCGCTTATTGATAATGAGATAGCGAATTCAAATGTACCATCAGATCGTATTGCCCTTGGAGGTTTTTCCCAAGGTGGAGCTCTTGCTTTGTATTCAGCTTTTACTTATAAGAAACCATTAGCTGGAGTTATGGCTTTATCGTGTTGGATACCATTACGTAAAACATTTCCAGCTGTAAGAATTAATTGCTTTATATTAATGTAAGAGTGTTAATATAATTTATTTTCATAATTTAGGCTGCTATTGGCAATAAAGATATACCAATAATTCAGTGCCATGGAGATTGTGATCCAATTGTGCCTTTAAAATGGGGTCAATTATCAGCATCCATTCTTAAGTCTTTTTCAAAAAATACTGAATTGAAAACATACAGCGGTTTAATGCACAGTTCATCTGAGACGGTATGCATCTGTATTAAATAATTATAATTTGTTCTCATTTAAATTCTTAATACTAACTAGTTAAAATTAGAATATATGGAAAAAACTAAATTTTAAATTATATACAAATAAAGGTTTATAAAAAAATCGTATGATATACTAAGTAAATATTTACAACATTTATTTCTTAAAGGGCCAGTTTTCCAAATTTTCTTTTATTTTGTAAAATGTGAAAATTGTTTTCAATATTATAATTACTACCTTAAACATTTTTTCACTAATTTACTACCCAATACTCATTTGGAGGTAAGGGATATTATAATATAAAAGAAGGGGTAGTTTTTATGGACAAAAATAACTGGAAATAGAGATTACTCATTATCGAGAGAAAATTTGGTTAAATGATAGACATGTACATATCCTAGACATGATCTCCATAGGGTATAAACACAGGGTTTATCCTGTGATTACCTTGCAAACCTGAAAATATCAGAGAATTTAAAATGTGATGGAAATTATGGGAAAGAAGAAAAAAATATTTATATTTTAAAATCACTTATAGTTATATATAACTGTGTATACCTATGTTTTATCAAACTTTATTAAATGACAAAAATAAATTATCTGATTATGATTAATGCCAAAAAAATTTGCACATTTAAGAGCTTTAATTTATTGTTTTTAACTGCACCGATTCAACGAATAATGTGCAATATGGATTAGAGTTACAGGTAGAGGTAGAGTAAAATTAAAATGCAGTCAACTAATGTAGTACATAACAGAAAACTAATTTATATTTACTCTAAACATAATAGTACATCTAGTTCTAGATAGTTCTGGACAATCAATACAACCATTTACAAGTTAAAATAAAAATTTGAAATAATCTATTTTTCTTTCTATTGATAAATCAACAATGACAAATTAAATTAAATATTAAACAAATTAAATAATGGCTGGTAAGGAGATAGTGGCTCATAAGTGGTATCACATTTGAAGGCTTAAAAACATAGGAAGCAATTTTGAACATTATCTAAGCCAGTGGTTTTCAACCTTTTTTAAATTGCGACTCCCATTTTTATTTTTTTTGTAATGCGACCCCTTCAAAAAAAAAAATGTTTTATTCATCAAAATTTGATTTAATTACTGATAAAATATTGTACATAGTTAAATGCATGGTATACAATTTTGATTAATTAACATTTAAAAATCAATTATTTTATTATAAATAAATTCATAAATTCTGAAAAACCTGAAAACATTTCAAAGTTTTCATTATTTATATAATTTATCCATAAACGTTTTTTTTTTTTTTTTAAAGCATCGATTTTATTGGAGAGAATTATATTTATAATTTTATAAATTATATTTGTGTTTTTACCTTGAAGACTTAAATTTAGATTATTTAACTTTTCAAAAATATTGTCAAGGTCACTTAAAATTGCTAACCATTTTTCATTTAAGAAGTGTTCTGCGACTGTATTTTTATGTTCAAGAAGAAAAATTTGTATTTCATCTTTAAGATCAAAAATTCTTAATAATATTTTACCACGGGAAAACCACCTAACTTCAGTATGAAGTGTAGTAGTTTTGTATGATCAGATTCCATTTCGTTACTGAGTATCGTAAATAATCTAGAATTTAGTGCTTTTTGCATCTTGTAGTACTTTATTGACAAATGGTTCAAGCTTTTAGTTACTAAAGCTTCCCTATGAATCAAAATGAGTAAATAGTATACTTAGTGAAATTTCATTAACTTTAGCTTTAAAGCCTTTCTTTGACTTAGAAAAATGCTTACCTTTTTCTTTAATAAAAATAAATCTAAATTGTATATACTGATCTTGATATTTACGTTCTTTTTTTTGGTTCTCAAAATTGAAAGTTTTTTTTTCTTCCAATTCCTCGTTGATAGGTTGATTCGTTGTAGTTTCCGATTGTTTACGTTTTTTATTATCATTTGCACTTTCACAACTATTAGTAGTTGAAGGTCGTTTAATTAAAAAATTTTCCATTTTAAAACATACTATCATAAAACAAACCTATCATTCGCAACCCCCAGGTTGAAAACCACTGATTAAAGCAGTGAATTTGATATTTTATGTAAGGGGTCAAACCACAGAATTGTATTCTAATTTCACTCAGACTTAGTAAAATAAACTTTTTAAAGCAATTAACAACGGGATCAGTGAAGTCTTTAGAGTTCTTTATTATAAAGCCTAATATCATAGTAAATTTACTAGTTGTATGTAATAAGTGTTAATTAAAAGAAAGAGTGTAATCAAATATTACACCTAGATCACTTATGTCATAAACTTGTGTTAATGAAGAATTATTTATATGGTAAGAATGGAGAAGTGAAATACAAGACCTAGAAAATATTACTTAACACTTAAATATTTAGAGGTAATTTGTTATCTGTACACCAATTTGACAAAATATTAAAATCATTTTGTAAATGTGATGCGTTGTTAAATTAATTTACTGATCGTGATCTCGAATGTAAAAAATTGAGGTATATATATAGATGACATATGTAGTATCTCATAGTAAATAATCTGGAAAATCAAGGAATTTTGAAATCTAGAACATTCATTTTCACATAACAAGACTGGCCAATTATTTCTAAATATATTAATTTTTGACATAATTCTTTAATATTACTTTTAATAAGCTGATATTTAATATTTTAATTTAAATTTAAGTATACAATTTTTTATTTTGCAGGAATTATTGGATCTTCAGAAATTCCTGAAAACAGTCCTCCCTCCAGTGTGATTCATCTTTCATATATATATACATACATATAATAATATATATTGTTGACGCACCTAGCATGTGAATTTAATATACTTTTTTGTAGTATACTTCATTGTATGTTTCATATATAATAATATATTATGGTACTTTTATTGTTGCATTTAGGGTAAATATTATTAAAATTGGTTTGTATACATCTATTACTGTCTTAAACATTACTTATTACTTATATTAAATAGTGAACACACAATAGGTATAATGTACTTAATGAATATATTAAATTCATTTTATTGTTTATATTATATTAGGTGTGTAGCTATAAATACATATATATATATATATATATATATATATATATATATATATATATATATATATATATATATATAAATATATATACATGTTTTATTAGATTTTAATTTATACTTTTTGTTTTTTATAGGTATGTAAAATAGTATACATTAATACAAATCCAATAAAATATTATAAAGTTAACTAAGAAAAAAATGTTTTATATAACAGCAAAACAAAATTAAATATTGTATTAGATCACTAATAGAAAATAAAGTAATTATAATCATAATTTTTTTCTTTTTTTTTCAACCTGAAAGTTTTCTAAAGTTGTTTTTATAAGTTAATTGTATGTATATTTAAATTTAGAAGTGTTTATTAATTCGTCTGTAACAGATGTTATTATTTTAATAAACATAAATATAAAAGTATTCTACAGTAACTTTAAAATTAATATTTTTAAGAATATATGGGCTTTTATAGTTTAAACAATTTTAGATTAGGAGTGTAGCGAAGAACAGATTGGTTTTTCATTTTTTTTTTTTATATACTGTACAAATTTTCTACCAGAAATCTTGCTCCAATATATCAAGCACCAATCTTGAAAGAAAATTGTATTTATTTGGTATTTAAGAAAAGATATATTTTGATTTTCCAAACAGTTTTCATATTAATTGGGAAAAATCATAGGAATAAACAGACATATTTACAGTGTAACAATTTCATAATTTTACATTGGAGGGGGGGGGGCATGAGATCTTAATCTAACTTAACTGTAATCCATAATATATTAATCTATTATATTATAGAATAGAACAACTTCACAAAATACATAAATATATATAGATTCTAGAAGACGAAAATATTACAGAAAAAATTAAAAATAAATGTGACTAATAAGCAACATTTTAAACAGAAGACTTATAGTTAATGAAAAATAGTGGTAGTATATATAAAAGGTTAAACTAAGTACAAAAGATTTCTATGATAATATATGCGCGAAGTCTGGTGCTTGTTGGAGAAGCCATTTTGATAGATTTAATAAGTTTTTATAATTCAAATAGTTTAACTCTAAAGAAAGTTTGTTGAATATAAATGGCTCAACAAAAAAGAAAGAGGTTTGAGTGAAGGATTTGTGAGTCCTGGGACCCAAAGACGTTATTCAATTTATATCGAGTATTAAAATTGTGCTTTAGCGGTTTGTTTAAGTTGTTTTTAATTAAGTAGATAACTGCTGTTTTAAAAAAGTTTTTTATTGTTAAAACATTGAATTCTGAGTAGGTATAGGTTTACATTATGAAAGTACCTGGTTTTATTTAGTATAGATATTAGTATGTTTTGAGTTGTTTGAAGTTGCTTAAAATTGAAATTACCGGCACTGCCCCAGCCAATTATTCTATAGGTTAATAGTGATTCAACTAAGGCTTTATATACACTTTTAATATGGGTAAGGTTTAACATATAAAAACTAAAACCATAAACTATATTAAGGTACCTTTCGCCGACGCGTAGATTAAACAATTTGTATTACCTAATGTCTATAAATATATAAAACCGCTGGGCATTATTTCGTTATCTACCTTAAGAAATTAATTGGAAAGTGGAAATAATAAGTTAATCAGTACCTAATCACCGATACTGTATGTAATGTTTCGCCATCACCGATCTCGACAAAAATTCAGAGGTAGCTAATAATAAAAATGAATGGATTTAACTATGGTTAGTGTCGTGGGTGCAAGGGGGTGCCAAAAAGTTCACCGGAATGATTTAATAATGTCACATCTAAATCAAATGTATGATTTTTATTTTTCTTATACTTAACAGTAAATAATAGTTTATAGTTATTTAGTTATTAAAATATGAAAATATTTCTCATCTTTTTTATTTTTAAGAAATCAATGAACGTGTTCAATTTGTCCCTTGCGTTACCCACAGCTTTAGTTTAATTTGTGTATATGCTACTAGGGTACCATTTATTTCATTTTTCGGCATTGTAAAAAGAATATATTTAACTATTTTTCTTCTGGATCAATGAATCATTGGGAAATATTAATAAGTTGTTTGAATATCACTTTAAAAGTTCACAGTAATCTACACTGGATCTCTAAATATTCTAAATATAATACAGTCCATTCGTTTTATTGTCAATATGGTGAAGTGGTTGTATGAAAAATCTACTAATCCAACTGTTTTGGTGACGTGGTAGCTAGTGCAGAAAGTATATTGGAATAACTCGATTTGTAATTTTTTTATTTTTAAGTCATGTTGGATAAAATATTGAATCAAATTTTTCGCGTAAAAAAAAATTATTACAAAGCTCAAACATTGCCATAAGTCAAGCGTCAAAAATGTTAAATATTTTAAATATTTTTCTTCAAGATATACATCATAATGGAACTGAATTAATTAAAACATAAGCAACTAGCATTTGTGAAAAATTGAGAAAAAAAAATCTTTGTAAAACCATTGCTCCATTCAATATCTAAAAAGAATTAATAAAAAGAATAATGTGTAGAGAAAGGTTATCATGCGAAGAAATTTCTGTAGATCAATTATTAACAATGAAATAGGTATCACAAAGTTCTTGATAAAATGGAATTACTTTTTGAAAATAATATTTGTTTAGTATCTTTAATGATTTTTAATTCGTTTCAGGCTATATATTATCTATAACACCAGTTAAAATATCAAAGAAATATTCAGCTGACTTGGCAAAAAAATAGAATGAAGACACAGGTACAGAAATAATTATCAAAATAGAATTTTTAAAAATCAACGAAAAGTAATAATACTCAATGTACAAAACGCAATATTTTTTAATGCGCTAAAATTATTTGAACTTGATTCAATTTATTCAAATTTGGTACCTTATGCATATATGATTTTTTTTATAAATTAAAATTAATCAAAATATATTTACGATCAAATAAGCCCCAAGGGCCAAGAAAGATCAACTATAATTCAGCAATATTATCAATTGAGAATAAAATAATAAACAATATAGATTTTGAAGATGTTACAAAAGATTTTGCTTCAATCAAGTCGAGAAAGATTAAATTTTAAACTATACATACATGTTATAGGTAATCATATTTAAATGACATTTACTGATGGGTGATGATCATTCACATATTAATATGTAGGTACTATTTCTAATTTTTTTTTTTCTTATTATAGTTACTATTGACGAAGTTATCATATTATTATTTTTACAAAAATGTTTAAAAATATAAAAACAAATATATCAGTAAAATGACGACTAATAAAAATATTAAATTAGTAGTTGGGGCGGGAGCGAATACTTTTAATTTTGTCTTGTACCTAGTCAAATCATAACGGCACGGTTCTGACTGCTGCTCTGGCTAAGGCAAAAATTATAGATGTGCCGAGTCCTTGTCCTTAACTTTGTCGTGGTCACCATAGAGACAACTAGATCATTAAATTAGAGGTGCTAAAATTATAGATATATCAAAGACCTATGGGGGAAATGTCCCCGTAATCCCCTTTACATGATACTTATAACAAGCAACTAAACATTTCGTTTACAATTTTTATATAAAAATGTACCATAACTTTTTAACTTTATTTTTTATACGTACATGCATTGTCTGTAAGTATAATCTATATTTTGTTTTGCTTATTGATTATGAAATACATAGCTAAAATATTTAGTCGATACCTACTATAAAAAATGATCTATTGGATATTTTTGGGGGAACTAAATATAGGAGGAGCTTTAGCACCCCTTAGTTGCGCCTATGGTCGTCACAGATATAGATTATATTTATTTTTCTTTATCTTCTTGGTGTTTTATGGTTTGGACTTTGGTGCAGGGCTAACAACTTTTTTGGAATATTGGAATTTATTGAAAATAAGGACAGATGTAGCCACTGCTATAGGTAATTTAATGTATATCTGAAGCAACGATTAACCACTGCTAACGAAAAAACGATTCTGAGCGAAGTTCGGTTGGTAGTTTGCTTTGTCAACAATATATATGCTATATTATGATATAATAATTGTATATACATTACCTATATATTTTCTTTAATAATATTAATATTATAATAATAATAATTTGTTTAATTTGTATTTATTTTTCTGTCATTTCCCGGTTTTTACCATGTTTTTTTTTCTAAATTTTCCCATTTATTATATAAACAACTGGAAAAATCAAAAAATAATCTCCTTCAATTACCTATTCAGTCAGATTTTCTTTCAGAAAAATTGCTATCATTGTAAATTGGAGCGAAATTGCTGGTAGAAAAGTTGTTCACAGGAAAAAAAAAGGCTTTCATATTTTAATATGCATTTGTACATTTTTCTGTTTTTCGTTGTTTTTCCCCTTTTTTTACCATATGTTGGGAAAAATCTTGAGAAAATCAAAAAGTGACCTACTTTAAGTACCACCCTGGTTAGGTGAAGTTGCTACATTTGTACATTTGTAAATCAGAGAAAAATGTATTGTGGAGAAACTGTTATTTTTAGTTTTAATTTAAAAAAAAATAATAATAAACATAGTAAAACCAAAACATTCCTCGCTCTGCTTAGTCATAAAATCATATAATCAGGAACCAAATAATAATAGAGATTATTGGAGGAGTATTTGTTAGGAGAATTGATCTTTATTAAGGCCATTACCCGTCATAAAGAAGAAAGAAAAAGATGTTTGTGGCGTATTTAAGGGGGCCTGATAGGGGCAATGCCCCCCCCCCCTCGAGATATATTTGCAAATCATATTTTATGTTTGTTGAACTTATAAGTGTTTCTATATTTAATCAATACATTTTTTTTTGTCATGAGAAGTTTTCGTTATTTTTTGAAGATATTCATATTGATAATAGATAACATTTTGATCACATACAGATTACATACATATAACCGGTGTATTTTAGCTTTTCTACGTTTGGAATGTTTGAATAATTTAAAGCATGGGTTAAGTAAAAAGTACTAATATATATTTAGATATTTGTAATGTCTTATTAAGAACCTTGAAATAAATGTATTTATTATTTGGAATATGGTGATGCTTAATTACTCTTAATTTAGTTTTTTGTAATAATATTTAAGTGAATTCTCTCCATTTTCTTTTTGGTTAGGTACTACTTTCCTAACATCCCTTTTCTGATTTAACACTTTCATATTATTTATATTTTTATGTCAGTCATATCTGCTACTTCTATTATTTTGTTAATAGATTAAAAACTAGACTGAGATAAAAAATGGGCCAGGATCCCTTAACGTATTTGGCATTAAATCAATTGTGTTACAATATATTGACAATGTTATTGACAGGTTTGAAAATATTAAAAAAAAGAAATGTAGATTTTATTTGGTAAATAAAAATATGTTTTTTTTATATTAAATGTCACAATTTTTTTTGAGGAGGGTTAACGTTGACCTCCTTTAATATTGCCCCTCTTCCATTTGGTAAAGTCTCAAATACGCCATTTAGATTAGATAGGTACATAAATATCACAAGTAAGTCTTAAAATTTAAGGTTTATTAATTATTTACTAATAACAAGGTACAATTCAAAATATTCAAATCTTAAAATTTATAAATGTATAGGTATATGATCTTGAAAAAATAAATTTTTTTTTACGCAATAATATATATCTACATATTACTTTTTCTTTTATAAAAATAATTACCTGTTACATAAATTAGGTACAAATTAATTTATAAAATGTTCAATTTTAGATGTAGGTGTATGAATAAACTTTAAATTTAATATTTTTTTTTTCTTATGTAGGTATCTATAACAAATATAATATAGGTAGGTATCTAAATTGTTATACCGTATAGATGTATAGTATATGAATATTACTATACAGTATACTTTCCCTATAATACAATTTAAACATAACAATAAAATTATAATATATTATATATGTATGTATTTATATACTATTATATTATTATATAGGTACCTATCTAAAATATATAACTAATAATATATTATGGTATATAATATAATTACATATTATATTGAAATATATATTTTTTAAATGAAAGTTAAATTTATATTGATTTTTTTTAATCATAATTTAGTAAACAAAATGAAGACTATAAAAACAATTTCTCGATATGCATATATAGGTTTATTCATATTATGTATCCAGAGTCATTTTATTAACTTTATAAAGAGGTGGTAGGTTGCTGGTAATATTAAATATTATTTGAGTTGAGTATCTAGGTACCTATATAAAATATACAAATAGTTTTGTTGTTACCTATATTCACTATTATGATATAAAAATGTGAGTTCTCTCCTTTTTTGGAGTCATTACCTATTCACTGAATAAAAATAAAATTAGCTCTTTGTTGATTTTTAAATTAAAAAGTTCTATTACTTATCAGTTACCCAGCTTATAAATTAAAAATACAACTGTTAGGTAGGTAGGTACTGATATATTTGCTCACAAATTTATCTGTATTTATGAACAGAAAACATGTTTATATTTTTGTGAATGTTTTGTGTTTATATTATTGTGGATTTAAAGTACAATTTATTTGAAAGAAATTAATTTTTAATTATATTTTCATATTTATGAAGTCGGGTCTTCGCCTCGTCGGTAACTAATAATTAGGGTATCTAAGATACCTAATCTAGATAAAAATATACATGTTCTCTTTAATACATACTTATCATTGCTAATCGAGTCACTGAAACAATATCTCTTAATTCGTATATCCTATGTGTACCTAACGTCCTAGACAAATGATGTCAAATGGTCAACCAAATCAATGAATAAGTAGGTACCGGTTAAGTAATTCTGTAATGTTCTAATATGCACAATAAATTTATTTTTGGTCAAATTCTATTATACCTACCAACCAAATTTATTACCTAGGTAATTTTGAACACAATTTTATCTATAGGTGTGCAACAAACTATTAAAAATTATATTATTATCTCTTAAAAGCTATAAAATTTATAAAAAGATTTTTAGCAAAATATAAAATATGATATTTTGAATGTTTAAATATAGGTAGATATTTATTTCATAGGTATTATATATATTTTACGTATACCTACACAGTACACATAATAGTCATTATACATGTATGCACTTATTACTTAGGTAGGTACTATACATAATACATATTATAGGTGTGTATAGGTATTACATTATCATGCAGTTGGGAATTTTGGACATTTATTATAAGTAGTCTTATAGGTACTCCATAGGTTGGTACTTAACACTTGAACATTTCTATACACATTTAGATTTAGTTTTTATTACCAATTTGTTTTAAGCTAATCTTTATAAGCATTGTGAAAATATTATTTTTCAGTAAAATTGTAAAACATATTATAGCAGCTATCAGTATCTAATAGCTATTAATATATTATCCAACATCTAAATAAAAACGTTTTAAATATATTTTTAGGTTTCACTATTAAAACGGAGACTGATGAAAAAATGCTGACTAATTCCACAACACAAAATTTATATTATTTTTATGATATTTTCAGTGGACAGCAATAATGTACCGCAAATTAAGCCTATAAGGTAATAAAAAAAAATTTTATATGATCTATCTTTGGTTAACAATAACTAGATTGATTTCAATCATGGTTTTGTTTATGATTTCTTCAAATTTAACAATTAGAATAAATAAGATAATGGTTTTTAACTAAGTATATTTAATTATTTATTGTAGTAAGTTAGCATTTATTGGTAAGGTGTAAGAACTATAGGTTTTTTTTTTATTAAATTTAACTATAATTCTTCTACTAAATATTACCTATTATGATATACCCATATATTTGTTTAATAAAACAAATTTAGGTATAAGTGTTTATTATTATTTTTTAGATAATGATGAATAAATTATATTATATAGGTTTATTTATTTTCGAAAGTGGATTTTTATGCAAAATTTTTAATAGCCACACCATTCAATGTTTGTTTCTCGTTTCTTGTGTATGTTTAATATGTATTATATTTTGATTCTAACTCATCCATTTATATTTTATACCAACTTAATATAATGATATCCATTATATTGTAATCTAAATTTATGTTCTTGTGTATTTTAACTTTTCATTAAATTAAAAACTATTTTAACATGGTTATAATTACTTATTAAAACTGTATAAAAATTACATCGTTTATATTATGTGATTAGTTCGGTACAAATTTAATTGATGATAGTTGTTAAAAAATTATTAATTTTTATTTCTTTATATTGTCATAAAAAGATATAATGTGTCTGAATATATATTTCAAAATGTATGTATTGATATTATAATCTCATTATACACTACACAGGACTTCGGTTTTGTTTCTTTATTAATGTTTTTATTTTTTTGTCATACATTGATTATTTAATTTGATATTTATTCTTCTGCTTCAAGATTTTTCACTCCATTACTTTCAATTTCTTCTTCTTCTTCTTTTTCTTCTTCTTCTAATTTGGACATTTTTTCTAGTTCTTCTGCTGATTCTTCTACTACAGCTGGTTCTTCTACTTCAACTGGTTCTTCTGCCACAGTTGGTTCTTCCACCACAGTAGGTTCTTCTTCCACAGTTGGTTTTTCTACCACAGTTGGTTCTTCCGTTGCAGTTGGTTCTTCCGTTACAGTTGGTTCTTCCGTTACAGTAGGTTCTTCCGTTACAGTTGGTTCTTCCGTTACAGTTGGTACTTCCGTCAAAATTGGTTCTTCCATCGTAACTAGTTCTTCCGCCATAACTGGATCTTCCGCTATAACCGGTTCTTCTACCACAACTGGTTCCTCTACCTTAGCCGGTTCTTCTGCCACAGTTGGTTCTTCCGTCACAATTGGTTTTTCCATCGCAACTGGTTCTTCCGTGACTGCTGGTTCTTCCGTGACTGCTGGTTCTTCCGTGACTGCTGGTTCTTCCGTAACTGCTGGTTCTTCCACCATAGCTGGTTCTTCCATCACAGCCGGTTCTTCCACTATAGCTGGCTCTTCTATTACAGCTGGTTCTTCCACCACTTTTGGTTCTTCTACCACAGTTGGCACTTCTGTTATAGCTAGGTTCTCTTTTTCTACGTTGACCGTTTCCCTTTCTTCTTCTTTAACTTGTTCTTTCTCAATTTTTTCTTCTACTTTTTCTATCTTGATTTTATCTTCTTTCAGATTTTCGTTGTCTTCGTTTTGTTTTTCATTATCTTTAATTTCATTAAATACTTTTTCAATATTTACCGGATTTTTATTTTTTGGCATTTCTGAGTTAACTATATTATCTATTGGTATCACTCTAGTTTCTTCAATCGTGACCAGAATTACTTCATGCATTTTAGATTTTCTAAAAAACACCCAAAATAAAATGATTACCTTTTAAAACGTTAATATTAATGTAAATACATGTTGATCTTGATTATAAGCACATAGTAGTGTTACTAACTGACGACTTGCGTGTTCAACAGTCAAAGGTCAAGGTACGGTAGATTATACTAGCATGTGGACTGTGGACACTTCAAATAATGATTTTTTTAGTGGTCTTTGTAAGCTCTAAGAACCGAGTTCCACCATAAAATTGTGTTCAATAAAGATAAAATATTAATGATTTTTTTTTACACCACAAACTCTGTAATATTAATATTTAATAAACATAAGGGTGAATACACATTACGTATGTACTTCTAACATAAATTAACTAATACAATAATAATAATAATGTTTAAAGTTGGTTGAAATAGTGATCCGGGAATATTAATTATTAAATCTGACATTTTATTTGTATAGTTATAATCAGGGCTTGGGACGTATAACACTTAAAATTCACAGAAAAATACTAAAAAAATTCCAAAAAGTCCTGAAAGCACTTAGAACAAATTATTAGAAAAAAGAAAAAAAATGGTTGAGGGGTTTAAAAGTCCTTCCTCCTATGACTGTAACTTATTAAATAACATTTTCCAACATTACGAAAATAATAACAAAAACACAATAGAAAGTAATTTTATTGAAATAAAATTTTACGTATTTAAAAAAAATTAAATCATTTTTGTAGTGTTAGAAAATATATTTAATAAGTTATAAAGCCATTAGAAAATATAATTTTAAATTCCTCTACCGTTTTGAGATTTTTAAATATTTTTTAGTGCTTTTCTTGGAACTTTTTCGGCGTTTTTCTGTGCTTTTTTATGGATTTAAAGTGCTTTAATTATCAAGGACTGGTTATAATAAATGCAGGAAAAAAGAGATTTTTCTTTTTAGAGAATTCAGGTAGGTATTTTTAATTCGATATAAAATGTCGGTACTTAGGTATCTATTTTCCTGAAATTTATGTCAAAATATTATTATATCAAATTGGTTCATATATTGAAATATTTGAATTTTTTAAAAATTGTTTGTATACAATGAAATTATTTTTTATTGAAAAGTGTATTTACCTAATTGGCAAACTTATATATACTTGTATATATATAAGTATATAGTTTTATATATATATATATATATGAATATTTAATGGTATAGTAAAACATGTAGGTAATATACATTTAACGTTATACATAAAATAATATTACATGAATGAAGTGAAACTATTTACTATATATCAACACATGTGAACTTTAAAAATCATATTTTTATTAATTACAGTTAATTAAGTTACCCATATTGTGTAATTTACTAATGTTTAACATATGTATATAAAACACTATTTACGTAAGAAAATACGAGTATCTACTTCACGTATTAACTTTTGTATGTAATAAAAAACACGAATAACACTTATAAATTTTATAATTTAAAAAAAAAAACTATATTATATACTATAAACTAACTTTTACAAGATTCTAAATGATTATGAATAATACATGATATTGATTTATATTATTGTTTAATTATATTAATGTAAATACATAATTATCTATAATATTGTCAAATGTATGTACGCATTCAATATATTATGTTACTATTTCATTATTATAGATATATAAGCATCCCTTTGATATAAATGCCACTTACTTAGGCGTGGTTGAAGTAGAATCATTCACTTTATCGTTGGCTGAATTTTTAATATTGCCAGGTGCTTGTTCTGCTTTTCCGAACAACGTGCCTAGTTTTTCCTGAGTCTCATCCATCAAGTTTTCCACGTTCCCCGTGACATCTGAAAATGTATAATTATACGATTAATAATTTTATCAGATGATTCTAAAAATATGTTTCAAATTGTTAAATAACATTAACGCACACAATCATAGTTGAAACCACGACTCAAATATAAAGTTAAAAGTCTAGTTGCAATCATTGTAATTCTAAAGTTTTTAAATCAAGAATATACAGAAATTAAAGGGACTTTAAAACTTTTATTTACATCTTTTATTATTATAAATCCTGGTTGTTAAGATTGACTTCATTTTGTGTTTTTTTTAGTTTAAATTTTTTGTTTAAATAAATAGATTGTCCAGTTGTAATTGTATTAGTATTTACTGTTTACCTATTAAACATGTTAGGCATACTATTATTGATTTTTTTTTTCGTTTGAGATTATAAAAATTGTTGTTATTAAAAACAATATTTTATTAAATGTGTAAGCACTAAACAAAATGTAAAAAAATTATTCCTATTTAAAGTTCAAACAATGTATTATAATGCAACAATTGTGCAGTAAAAATAATTTGCCTCATGAATTGGTTACTGCAGTTTTGTTTGAGAAGTCGGGAAGGTAGCATATACTGAGTAATTTAGTTTACATACTCTATGCAACAATAAATCATTTCAAACGAATAGAGTAACGTAATAATTTTTTTTATAAATTTAATTGATTTACATTTTTAAAATTAACTAAATTTATTTTTTTTTAACAAATTTGAAAATAAATCTGAACTTAAAACATTGATAAAAATAAATTACAAAGTTTTTATTAAATAAAAAAAAAAAAAATTCGACAGTTTTAAATAAATAAATAAATAACTAAAAATCAGAAAACTTCAGAATATTTTGAAAATTATACCATGTACAGTGGAGTATTTGAACGAAACAACGAGACTAAAGTTTTGAAAAAAAACCATAGCAATGCTAATTTTCGCTGAGTTTAAAGTTTATCTCGTGTAAAGAAATAAACATTTTAGGGTACTTTTCTTGACATCATCCATTATAATAATTAATAACTAGAGGTTGTCTATTCTACATGACTACATCCAAATTCTATATGCCATTGTTTATATAGCATAATATTAAGTTTGTGTTTATTTAAGCATTTAAGCAGGTCGAGGTTTGTTGGTCAATTATTAGTAATTTACAATATTGCAGAAATACTGAAATACCTACTAATTATAAGAATTCTGGTATACAAGTATCTAGCACACACAAAAAAAAAAAACTCACATCATTATACTATCCAATACATTTGTCATTAGGTGACCTATGCTCAGAATTCAACAAAATTAAACTCCGAGTTTTACTATATAAGATGTGTATTTTGCTTTTGCATGCAGTGTGTAACGTGTAATATTGATATTAAATTGTTTAATATTCGCATTTAAAATGTTTATTCGCTTAAGTGCAATAACTAGGTATATGTATATTAATGTAAATGTTATTTATCGTGTCAAACTTTATAAATACTTCTGACAATTCGTTTGTTGAAAATTTGAAATTCCCAATGTACGAACTAGACAAAATGAGCTATCAGAAAGCATTCCTAAAGTTGATAATCGCAGTTGATTTCTGGTAAAAAAGTTGTTTACAGACACAAAAAACACACATGATAAAACTAATATATTCCTCGATACAGATACAATTTAAAAAATATAAAAAAAGAAACATACCATTTTATAAACTCATATATGGTAAAACCAATACATATTCGACATTCCTTTGTTTCACTCAGAATCTAAAATTAGAGAGTATTTTTAATCCCCTTGAAAGTTATGATAAGAGTGAATTTTCTTAAATGTTTTATCTAAATATATAAAACATGTTTATTTCAAATTTAACATTTAAAAACTTTAATTAACTTGTTTTTTAAATTTCTCAAATCTTGAAAATATTAATACTTCTGAGACAGTCAATTAGTGTCTTACGTTATGTTGATCATTCTGTATAAAACACTGAGTATTTTTCATATAAGTAGGTATATAAAAAGAGAAAATTCAGATAGATTTCAACTGATAAATTGGGTATTATAATATAATAAGTACCCAGCCATCTATAATCTATATATGTTACATTATTCCGTGACTATGTAATATTATAGGAAACTAGGTCCCTATATATAATGGTAAGTTGAAAAAAATTGCCCGTAATATTTCTAACGTTCTAAATAATAAAATTAGGTATGTTTATATATTATAAGGTATTACAGGAACTAAAATTATATATATATATATATAGGTATAAATATCCAGAATTATTAATCAAAAACCACAAAGTAGGCATTAGATGAATTCAGGGCTGAAGGTATTGGAAATCAATACCGGAAATATGATATTCATTTGTCTATTGGTGTCAAACAGAATAAGCCATTTTTTTTATAAGTGTTAAAAGTTTAAATTTTGATGAAATAATGAAAATCACTGCATTTTGCGTATTATCCTGAATTTGACTGATACAAATTTTTGTTGTTATATTTCGATGCCATATTATATTAAATAATTTAAGTTTATTAAAACATATTTAACAAAACTTCAGTCAGAATTGGTTTTTGTTATAGTAATGATCGCTGCGTACACATATAAATTAAATTATAATTAAATATCCTACAAACTTTAATTTTCTGAAATTCTCACCTACAATTGTAGATTGAAGGCATATAAAATTATATTCTGTATCTATATAGTATTCTTCTTTTCTTTCGCATTCATTTCAATTATTTGGGGTCGGACATCATCGTTCTTAACGTTCACTTGATCTGATTTCCAACTTCGCATCACCGATTCGCGGTTGTTCTCATATCATTCTCAATCGCATCCAACCATACTTAGTGCTATACTTCAGATTCTCGTCGAAGTCACCGTTCTTTTGTACAAAAGATCCTATAAGATACCAACTTCAAACTCTCAACCTTACCTATTGTATCACCGCTTATTTTCGTTAGCTACCTTGTCTTGTTCCTCCAAAATTATACTCTTTATACCTACTATGTTTAACTTGTACTTAGTTTCTTTCATTCAAGTGCTATATACTATATCAATATAGTATCATTATACTTATAATAAAAACTAATTTAATTTACATTTTAGTGTTTTTTTTTATATTGTATTGTTTTGTTGTGAACTTTTAGTGTTTTTATAAGTAGAAATATACTTGGTTTTAACACAATAATGTAAGTTTTCTAATAGTATTTTAATTACGATTGTATAGAGACGGGAATATTGTACATTTGCATGTGCGTATACTACTCTATACCTACACTAGGTAGATATCTGATTTCATAGTCAAAATTGTATTTCCTATAACAATAATGCATACTTGGAAGGTTGTGATTATTATTTTTTTATTAAAGTACCTACTAAGGCTACCTATTATTTATTTTTTGCATAATTTATATATTTTTAATGTACTTATCTGATAATTATTAAACAATTTCATTCTTATAAAACAGATATATTTGTGAAAAATATTATAAGGTCATTTGTTTAACATTTTAATCTTAAGAATAAGGAAATATAAGAAACTCTTCTTTATTCCCTACTAATTTCGCTTCTCTATGAGTCTGATATTGCTTATGGCAGGTGTATACTGTGTAAGTAAATACTTATTTGTACATAAACTGTAGCCCATGCAATCGATCGCATTCTAAAAACTTAGTTAGATTTCGTATTGTTGGTAACTTTAGGACACCAATATAAACATGAAAATAGTAAAATTAACCTGTGTTTACAAGTCGGATGTATGTGGAAAGAAAAATAGAAGAGGATGTGTAACGTAGAATTAAGTGTGGTTAGATGAAGTGGAGAGAAGTGTCAGGTGCTTTATGTATCAAGAGAATTCCAATAAGACATAAAGGTAAGTTCTACAAAAGTGTGATAAGATCGACTATGTTTTATGATTTGGAGTAGTGTTTCCCAACCTTGGTGGCGTGAATTCAAAATGTCCCCCCGGGGGAGGGGGGGGTGTATTTACTTTTACAATGTGAATTTTAAATAAACGAGGGAAAAAACGAAAATTAATAATGCGCTAAAATAATAAATAATAATCCGAATCAGACTTGAAGTGCTCTTTCTGCTTTATAGAGCCAAACATAAAAACATTTTCCACTACATTTAAAAAGTGTTGTCAGTCCTCACATCAATATTGATTGATAATTTTATTTTTATATAACTACAAAATATTATTTATATTCTCATTATTATTATAAATTCATAACTATTATCATTAGTAAAAAAATAGTTATCACGAATATTGTGTAGTTTATTTAATAAAGTATACTAAAAAAAAGGTCATCAATTTTTTCAGTATATAAAAGGAGGGGGAGGGGTATGAGATTTTTGAAAAAATTATAAAGGGATAGAATAAAAGAGGTTGGAAATCACTGGTATGAAGTGTTGAGTGGCATACAGAAAAATAATGTATCAAAAATGAGAATGCTTAGGTAGATGAATGGAGAGGTGATAAAAGATAGAAGGAATAAAGAGGTAGCATAGACGTTGCTTTGGCAGTAGAAAAATGAGAGAAAATAGACTGAGATTGTTTGGGAATGTTATGAAGAAAGTGGAATCAGAAACAGTATGAATGACAAAGAAAATAAATTACTTGGGTGGAAATAAAGAAGAGAAAGACTAAAAAAGAGGTAGTGGGATACAATGGATTCATGTGCTATATGATTGAGTCAAGTAGAAATTTAGGACGAGCGATGCCGACCCCAAATGACTGAGGTGGAGGAGAAGGAAAAAAAGAACATGTGTTTAAAGAACTAACCATAATAGGTTTCCTTTAAAGTTAGAAAAAATTTGTTGAGTCAAATTTGTTCCGAAAAGTGTCAACTTCTAGGCCTTCACTGTGTATTCACTATTATACATACATTTGGATCACCTATAGGTGCATTAATATCAACATCTTAAGTGTTGGTATATCTAAAACAATAATATTTATTATTGATCATTGATTTCTCCTCGCTTGTATTAAACTAGCAATAAATATAATTGTTATCCTATAGGTATCTCACGAAGATATACCCAGTTTTTCAATGCTTTTTTTCCCAAAAGTTCTTTTCACCAATGCCATTTTTCCATAAGTTCTGGATTTAAAAAAGTTCTATTTTAAAATCCGATTATATCTAATAAGATCATATCTCATTATATCTTAATATAAATATATTAATATTAAAATTAAAAATTAAAAATATATACATTTAAAATGATGCCCAATAGTCTCATTGATCTCATTAAAATCAGATTATATTTAAACAGATTATATCTTATTATAAAAGTATTAAAATTAAAATTTTTAATTACGTTTAATGACTTTAAGGTACTCAATTAAATCATTGAAATCCACAATTTTTTTATATTTAGACACAATGTATTTGTTCATTGACTTTAAGTCATACTATGGTATGACATAATACGATTCTTTCTTATTTTTGTCTTAGATTCAGTTGCCATAATATGCCCTCAGTGCCAGTTTGTTCTTTTCCTAATTCTATTAAAAAAGGTACTCATCATAGAAAAACCAATGCGTTCCTCACTATACGTCAGTGGCGTTGATCTAAATGTCAGTTATTGCGGGCACAATACCTATATAACTTGTTGGGTGGTGGTGGTCGGTGGCACAGTTTTTATTATTAATAATCAATATTTACAGTCTATAATAGTATGATTATTATTATTATTATACATTTTCTATAGATATTTATACATTTTTTGGTCAATTTGTTTATACCTTTGGTATGTTTTAAAATTGACTTCGGTACCACTGCTATACGCTCAGAATCTAAAACATAACAAAACTCATTTAGTTTTATCGCAAAATAATATTCCCTTAGACATATTATAGACATTAAAATAAAAAGTACTTATATAATATATATAATTATATTCAAACGTGAAAAAGACAAACAAAATTTACACATTCCATTTCTGGTAAGGGCGTTGGCAAGAAGACGTAAAAGTGTGTATAGTTCACATATTGTATAAGACATTTTTTTTCACGTTTTGTTTTCTTTTCCGTCCTTTTTAGATAGTAAAAGTTTCATTTATCATAATTTATAATCATTCGTCGGGACGCGAACCTTTTGTCGAGGGGCTTCTTGACAGAGTAGGAACCCGCGTATTCCTATCTACTATCATTCCTGCCCCTCTATCTATCTACAGTATACGTTTCACCAATTCACTTCCGATTCCGCATATTATAGCAATTGACCCATTTAATCGGTTTTAAATTAACAATGTATAATAAATATGGTCGTGTATTGACAATAGAATATAAGAGTGCGTCAACACACATGAAAGGATGAGGTGGTGTGTGTGTGTGTGTATGTGTGTAAGTAAATACTTACAGCCGTAGATGTCAATAGTTTCCTTTATTTTTTGTTCATTGATAGGTTTTTTTTAAAAGTATTATTTGTTGCCCGGTAACACCTACATATTATATAGAGAATTATCAAGTGTAAGTATGCATTAATATTTTTCGTAACTTCTATCGTGGGTTCAATGTAATTAAATTTTAAATTCTCAATAATCACGTATCGCATTTGGATTGTTGAGACGGGTGTTTGAAACGATTACATATAATAATGACACAAAACTTATAACTGTACTTATATTGAAATGAGTTTAATAAATATAAGTAAGACATACCTACGATCAACTATAGTGTTGTTAGTTTGAAACAGCTGGTTAAAAATACAATATATGATTTTCTGATATATATTGTAGATACTATTAATGTGATAAATTTAGTGAGTATGCATAATAAATAGTTATTTTGAATGATAACTAAAATATTTGAATATTATAATAAATTGTTTACAATTTCGTGAAATTTGCTATACCAACTGGGGACTATATAAATTAACTATTTACTCTGTTAAATGTGATACATTTATAATTTTAACCAATTACTATGTATAGTTGTCAATAGTTTTTGTGTAGTATGATAAATACTTGCCTGGACTATCGTATTTTCGACTATTTTGATTGGATTTCCGTTATTAACGATAAGTCGATAACTAACGGAATATTTACAATATTCAATATAAAATTTGAGTTGATAATAGGTACATGTTTTTTGAAAATATCGTCATTTGCAAAAAAGACGTACGGTCTCTCCGTTTCTTTAGAAATAACTATTAAGGGGACACAAATAATTGAGGAGCTCCGTCCTCCACAATTTGAGAACTGTTCTTAATAAAAAGTCATTAATGTTTCTTCCCTTATAATTTTTGGTAGCGCAATATTCGAATGTACTGAGAATCGTAGTGCAGATTGCATCAGTGGTGTATTTTCAATTATTTTTTGGAAGAGGGTCTAACCATATTTTTTGAGTTCCAGCATGATATAGGTACTACACAGGTAAAAATAGCATGGGTTGATTTTAATAATTTATAATAACATAAACGTAAATTTTACTCTAATAAATATATTAAATAAAACTGAATAAAATGTTAATATTAGTCCGGAAATATAATGAAAGTACGTTTTTATTAACTTCAATTTCAAAACTTTTCTTTCGTTTGAAACAGTTGATACTGGGACTGTTGCTAGGTTTTGAAATAAATAAATTTTGAGTTTGACATATTATATATGGTTGACGGAAATTAAACATTTCAACATCAAAATTTATTTTAACTAAAACGTTATCTATTTATTGAATTTTCAATACAGGTTGTTATTTAAAACTTAAAAGTAGAACTCTTAAAAATAAGAAATAAAAAAAAAGAAAAAATGGTAGTATAACATATTAAAGCTATTTGTTTTATAAGTTGTTAAAAAAAAAAAATTGGAAAAAGTAAATACTTTCCGATATAATGAGTATCTATCGAGGATAAATTAAACTGCAAGTATATAAAAAAAATGTTAAATGTTCTTAAATTTGCGGAATTTTGTGACTCATCTATAGTAAAAATGCAGGTGGAAGATGCACATTTTAATTTTTTGTAGTGCACATTTGGAATTTCCTAGTGCACGTGTGTCGTGCATCCAAAAATAGCTACTGATTATTTGGCATCTCACTCATGTAGTTAAATTTTCTTTTTCATGATTTGAATTTTATAATTATAAATGATGTAGGTGAAGATCTTCTTTATACGTATCAATCAATTTTATAGATGTACTTTTTTTAGCATTTGTATCGAAAAAAGATTGAATGCCGTTTAAAATAATTTTGGGGTCATTAAATTTAAATTCGAGTTGATTAATAAATGAGTCAATGTATGTATAATAAATATATGTGTACAACAAAATTGCTTGGGACCATCAGTTAATTAATCTTGATTCTGATTTGTAAATTAGATATCTTTCTATCTGTTTAGTATCTTCAAAGGGAATTCAAATTTGTTAGCAGTATGGTTTGCTTTTTTTATTTATACAAACTTTATAAAACTCTAGCCTAAAACTAAGCCATTATTAGCCATAGTCATTCGCGAGTGTATTATGGTTTGATAACCAACATCTACATGATTCGGCATAGCCTCTTCACCCTCTCCCCCACCCCGATTGCCACTCATTGTGCCATTTCCTTTAATAACCGTTTCATATATTAAACCAATTGAAAAAAAAAAAATATCCAAAGCCAATAATATGTCTTGTAAGTATATGCGTTTTCTTAAAATGTGTATAGATACATTTATAACCGATAGTACAGTAACAAAGCGTGTAGCCTAGAGATATTATTTTGAATATATTTTATACTTAGTATGTCCAACCACTCGTAGGTATTTATCTCTATGAAAATCAAAGTGAAATAATTTATTTTCAATTTTTAAATTAAAGCGCTTACAACCAGAAATAAATAGCTAACGAGTGTTTTTTTTTTTAAATATTGTGTGTAGTTACAACATACTAGGGAATAGATTTCATCTACATTTTATATAATAATTATTAACGATTATTTTAATAGCGTAAGAAACACGCACACACACTCACAAACACACACACACACTCCCACCTGATTTATAAGACCACTTTTGAGTATAGTTTGTGTAATATCAAGTTATATGCATGCAGAACGTAGATACATGAAAATGACCTAGTGCTATAATAATAATAACAAAAGATTGATGTTTTCATCATAGGAATGAGGAGATGAGAAGTGTTTTACACCTATTTAATATGCAATACGTATTAAATTAGAAATGATCTGGTTTATAATCTCTTTGAAAACACAGATTAACGGCGACGGCGGTATATTTTACTATATAATGTATAGTTGAATAATATGCATTTTGATGTAATTTATTTTAAAGAATCTATTAACTGGGTTCCACTCAGAATTGTTTTTTGTTATCAAAAATAATCATGATTTACCGTTACTTACATATATAAATTAAATAACTTTAAGTATTTTACCTTCTCAACTTTCCATTTACAACAGTGGCATACCCATCAGCAGTAACAGCTCTCTATAATTCAAATTAAATTACCCGATTTCATTCTAAACAATAGATATTTAATATAAATTGATCAAAATGTGTCCAATAAATCAAGTTCATATAAATTATTAATATTATCTGGCACCTATTGTATTTTTATTTGTTATCAATAATAATTCTCAAATATTTCACTTATGGACTATTTATTAATGTTTGGTATGCATATTCAACATGTTTACTATAGTAAAAAATTTACTATTTATTTTGTAATTTTAAAACAAAATTAATTACCTAATAATACATGATATGGTACATACTATGACGGTATGAGATGAAATCATATATAGCGCAATATGACTCATATATTATCATTATCCATTATACAAGCTTCTAAAATATTACTAAAAACCTATGAAATGTACTAATTTATTATACAGATTATTTGTATAGACACTTCAAATGCTTTAAATTGTTAAAAAAACAAAAAAACCTAAATTTAGGAACATAATATTTTACACATTTTTTTTTAAGAGCTATTGTTTATCAATTGTTTAGTGGCTTTTGCAGGAGGATAATAATTATAAACCATTTTAATTTAATTTTAACTTAATATACGTCTAATAAAAAAATTGTTGGAAAAAAGAAAATAATGAAAATAAATTTCAGGTACCGTAATATATACATTTAAATTATTATCATTAATCATATAAATATGTATTCGATTTAACAAAAAAAATACAAATATTATTTACTGTGTACCAACACTTATACAGTTAAAATTATTTAACATACAATTTAAGACAGAATATAAATTATTCTTACTTTATTATAATTTTGCAATTATATAATATTATGTACTTTCTTTGCGGTAGTTGTAGTACCTATATAATAATATGTCCTATAGTTATTTACTGTTCGTATTTTTCAACAAAATTAAAATGAATATTACAGTTATAATATTGTATATTCATCGGTGTTTACCTACTTTAATTTAAGCGTATTAATCGGGTATATTTCTTTAATAAAGAAACAATGAACTCACACATAGCACATTAAGCCCGTATAAAAATAATTTAAAGCTTTATTTCATTTCTCGTTGCGTGTACGTTTTTTTTACAACTCAGTAGGTCCCTAATGTCTTAGCTGTATAAGTGTTATCGTTTTACACGACATTTTGTAAATAATATTTTGAATGTGAGCATGTGAATAATAAGTGCGTTGACTAGTGATGGATGATAAGCTATAATAATTTATGCGTTCGTGAGCTTTAAAACGGAAGTTATATCATATTCGATTCTGAATATATTGACTTTACTATATGTGTTTTTATTATTTGTGTCTGTAAACAATTTTCCTACCAAAAATCTTGTTCCAACTTATAGGAACCTTCTAGTAACATTTTTTAATTAGTTGGTGCGTTAAGGACGTCATTTTTTTGATTGTATTTGTTATTTTCTTAATAAATGGGAATAAGTAAAAATTATTATCATTAGTATCATTTTTTGTTGATTTCTGAATTATTTTGGTAACTAAAAGAAAAAAAATACGATTAACAATTTATAATAATCTGCTCAAAATCGTTTTTCGTTAACAATGGTTTAAACTTGTAAGTAAATGATTCAAAAAAAAAAACAACTGAAAGTTTACAAACAGAAAACTGTAATTGTATTTATGTCTTAAATTGTTGTAAAATTTCAATACTTAATTCTACTATATGTATTATGCATGTATAAACTATATTGTATAAAAACAGAAAGAAATAATTTCTCACGCAAAACGATTTTTTATACCATTTAGAATCTTAATTAAATAATCTAAATTTTAGATTATTCGGGGCTGGGGGAATGATTACTGGATGTCTATATTAGCGGAATAATTATAATTGTTCGTAAATTTATTCATTGGTGAGTTTGAATATTTTTGAGTTAGTGAAAATTATCGGCGCCGCGTACTTTCTGCCCGTACGTTTTCCGCTCTTCACTTTTTTCGTGCTATTTCTGCTCGTTATCGTTATTTACCTGTTATAATTATTTGCTCAAAATTTAAAATTATATAGTTGTATTTTGACTTTTGTTACGTAATGTTGAAATTTTCTAGAATATGTGAATTGTTATTTTCCGAAATATTTAAGGGTAAGCTGTGTCTTACGATTATGAATATTGAATAAATAAAAAAACGAAAAGTACAAAATGTTGATGTAACAGCCAAATGTTCTGGATTTATTTTAACGAAGGTTGGACAAATATTCAAGGAAACGGCAGAATATATGTGTGTTCCAAATGCAAAAAATATAGAGGTGTTAAAAAATATTGAGTGGATAGTCCACCTTATTTAATTTCAGCAGGTAAAGATTACAATAACGAGCGGAAACAGCAAGAAAAAGGTAAAGATCGGAAAACGCGTGGGCGGAAAGTATACATCACCAAATTATCTATGCATATCCCATACGAGGAGTGGATATCACGCTAAAAAATCGGTTATATATTACTATAGGTTGGTGCACACGTAATTATTCATACGTGTAATAAACCCACACTTATTCAAAACGATTGTAGACGTCTTGGCGAATTTGGTACTAAATTTTGGTATTATGGTAATAGTGGTGTATGCATATAAGTATATAAGATTGACGCAGGTCCATTATAACCTATTTATTAGAGTAAGCCGACACCATCAAATAAATCTTGTTTCATTTTGTGAAAATTCCGAATTTTTAGTAATTGACTACAACAAATTATTAACTGATTCGTGACATAAATGTAAATGTTAAGTCTTGACCTAACCTATTTTTTCCTTATATTTTCTGACGCATGTGAGTTTTTTTGAAATCTATATTTATTTGTTTTTCTGTCTGTAAATAATTTTTCTAACAGAAATTTTGCTTCGATCATCATTTTTAGGATTTGTTTCTGCTATAGAAAATGTAGCCAAGTTGGAGAAAGTCATTTTATTTATTAGCAATTTCAGACACATTTGTACCATTTATACTTATGAAGTCCTATATTATTTATCGTCAAAATTGAACTAGATAGTATTTATTTATAATTTTACATTTAAAATGCAATATGTCCAACACAGAATACTGAAGTGTATTTTACTGAAAAAAAAACCATTGGCATTGTACATTAATGTACTTATAGTGAATGTGTTGGCTTAAATATTTTCCTTTGGAAAAAATAAATTGTATGGTGAATACTATATGGAAAAGATGTTAAATGGTTATTGGTTACCGAATGGTGATGAAAATTGCTTACAAATATGTAGTCCAAAACTGTGTTTTTATACGTCTGCTCTAAATAAAAATTGTAATTAGGTATACAACTATTTGTATGGTATCAAGAAATGATAAAAATTAATTTTGCTTGGATATATATATTTGGTAGGTAATAATTGTTGAGCCATTGCGCCCCTGCCTACTACAATCCACGAATTAATAATTGTTTAAAATACAAATGTTTAATAACAATGCTACAATTTGCACATTGAATGTAATTTATAGTGTCTATTAAATTATATTATTTTTAAAAACCGAAAGTGTTTTCGAGAACAAATTAAAAATTCACATACATATTATACATAATAGTAAAGCTAAAATAGATTCTTCGCTCCGTCCGAAATCTATAGATTTTGAATGTAGCGACAAATATGATGGCTTTTCATGGTGTGTGTATTTTTTTTCCGCCTGTAAACAATTTGTCTACCTGCAATCTTATTCTGATCATCAAATAAATAGCAGATTTTTGCGAAAAACGATTTTTGTATAATTAATGCATTTGGGAGGACATTTTTGATTTCCCTTGTAGTTCTGATTAACTATGAAAACCCCAGAAAAAACTTATGAAAAAATGCAAAAATTCACGCAGTATCAGTTTTCATAATATTTGATCTTGTTTTTTATGGTCGTTCGGTTAAAAATAATTGCAGAGACCTGTAATTTTCACTAAATACTATGTAATATATACTAGCCTTTTCTAAATGCAATAATTTTGAAGCTATTTAAAAGTATTTAAAAATTCGATTTTTTTTTTTTCGTTATTATTTGGTTTTATGTAGATAAAATTATTTTGGAGAGTAAAAGTAATTTTTTTTTTTTTATAAATTTAATTTTATGTTTATATTTAAGGATGTAAGTATTGCACTTTATTAATTAATATATACCTACCTAAATATTTAATATTACGAAGGCGATTTCTCGTGTACATAATATAAGTACAATTTAATACAGATAAATCGTATTTTGGTCGTCTGCTGCAGTCCTTCGTCTAATATCGTTAGCCTAAGATCCGTTAAATCATCAATCGTAGCGCAGCGCAGAGTGAATGGTGTTATGGCAAGGTGCAGAATGCAGATATATATTATAAACGAACGATATTTATATAAAAACTTTCAAATGACGTTCACCGCACTGGCATAGTGGCGTATCCGAACCTTTATAGGGGTGGAGTGGTGTGAGAAGACGATTCAAGAAATATCAGATTTTTTCGTTTCTTATGGATATACCTACTACATTACACCGTCCGAAAAAAAAAAAATAAGTCGTCGTCGTCACGGGTAGATGAGTGCTTGACGGCTACGAGTATAATTGGTTTTCTGTAAACATAATACTATGGAAAGCATTGAAAGCAACGATAAATCATCATCATATTATTATTCGAATTCTAAGAACGTTTTTGTGAATAGAGTTCAGAATTGATATATTAACGAATGTTGCGAAAATTACTTTGGATTTTTTAAATTATTCGCCGTTTCCGGGAATTATCTATGGGGGGGAGGGGGACGTGTGTTACTCGTACACCGATAATTTTCTCCATATGCAGGATAATGTATACTTATATACTTAAAATAAAAATAAGATTAGTGGTCCTGGTGGTTATCATCTCTTCAGAGACTTTATAAAAATGTATAAAATAAGTTTTCTTAATTTATTAAAATTATTAATTAACTTAATTAGCATTTTAGCATCATGTTTTAGGAAAATCGTGGTCGTACTCGGTGTATCTCACGTGTATGCAGCATAATAAAAAAGGAGATAGTGGATAGAGTTCCCTTGAGACACCGATTTTTTGTTCAATTGTCAATGGTGATTACTCCAAAAATAAATCGTAAATACACAATTTTGACGACTGGATCCCCACTATTGGCCAATCGAGAATTCAGAAATTTTCCTGGTTGACTTTCTCATATAATATTATGGTCCTAAATTCATAATATTATATACATGGGCCGGTCTTATTAATTTTTTGTTCATAAATCGGTAAATTTACAATTTTTCTGCATCATAATTGTTGTTACCGATATTCAGAGGCATATATTAGAGTCACCTGCTTATTACGTATACCCCGTGCCCACGAACAAAAATTTTACACTGCACTGTGGAGATAAATGTGCTGATATACCTTGAATCTTTTTGACCATGTCGTCGATTTTGACGTTGCCGACCACCTTTTGGACGATCGATTGGGGTTTATCGTCCACGGCGGCGGTGGCTGATGAGTCGTTCATCAGTGGCTTGTTGCCGGCGGCCGTGGGGCCATTGGACTCGACCACTGTTTCGCTCGTAGGAATAGGGTTGCTTCCAGCGCATCCCATCGCGTCGGGCTGTAGGTGCGTGGGTAAATGTGGCGGTTCGCCGCGGCTACCGATTGTTTTCGTCGGCACTCGTCTGTTTGTCTAGGACGTTGTCTGCTGTTCCGGTCACGTATTCTTGTTTCAATTTCCGGCGAAGACAACTAGAAGACGTATAATATTAACAATAATACGCGTATGTGGTTGTACAGTGTGCTCGCGCGAGGGTGAAAGAAATAATATTGCCCGTACCTAACTGTATAACACACGTTCAACGTTTCCGCCGCCACCGCTGTCGTCTAGCGTGCCGGTCGTCGGTCATTATACGCTTATTTTCACGAGTGTTCGCGCGCCAGTATTTGTGTTAACGACACGAACTACACACGCTCATTCGGGTGCGTGCTTGCGCGTGTGTGCCACCGTGACAACGGTCTGGGGCAAAACATTGCGGATGGACGTGATTGCACGACCGTCCGAAATAACCCCCGCAAAAAGTCCCACTTCACATACATTCACATGCAACGGTAGATTCGGATCCTAGACCATATTAAATGTAATAGGTTCATTGGCAGCAATAATGTTGAATTCCGTTGACCGGGCGCATATAAGCATTTTGGTATTCGTTTCAGCCCCTAGGTAGAAAGCATTCCACATTTGAGATTGGTTCGTTTTAATCGTGCGGGATACGGAAGCATAATATTGTGTTCTCGTGATTAGAATATCGACACATTTATGAAGTGTTGATTGTGCTCAGTAATCTACACTAGTAACACGGCAAACCATTGTTATGTCGGGTTTGAAACTGATGATCATAAATCAATTTTTTCGTAAATTTCCCCCTGTAACCAATATAACCGATGTGGTTTTACATAACAAATCGAGGGTTATTTTTTATTAAATTATGATATGAGCTCGCAAAACGTTCGAATGGAGATAGCCGAAGGCTCTAAGATGAAGAAATTTGAAATTGATAACAATGATAACTGCAACATGATATGACACTTCCACTTCCACTTCCACTTCCGTCAATGGTGTTCGTGAACAATATTGAGTGAGAAGGGTAGCGATAGTTAGGGATGACCATGGATGAAATAATTTTACATTTTTATTTCGCTATGTAATTGATTGTTATTATTTCCACTGTAATAAATTAAATTTAGGTGAAAAACTGATAAATAATAATAATTTCATGATTGTAAATTAATATATTCAATCATTCTTTCCATGGTTGCCCCTAACTAGCACTATCTCTCTCACTCAATATAGGTTCTGCGTTTCATTTTCTAAGCGCAGTCCGTTTATTAAAAAGTTTATTGATAAAACACGGTGCACTAAATTTGAAACGTCCAACCAGAATTTACCTGGTGTCGAAATGAAACTAATAATGCTAAAATTATGCTAATTGTCGCACTAGAAGACGTTTCACTTGCTGCGTACAGACATTTGTCCGAAGTATCAGAGTCTATGTTAAGCCAATTGGTACCCAAGGGCCATTAATTCTTAAGCACCCACTCTTAATACCTTACCTAGGGATGATTTAGGGATCATCCTACAAATGTGTTGTTTATTTTTTTTTAACAATTTTATTAAATACGTATTAAAATTTCAACATTTTACCTTCATCAAGTAGGATTCTTCGTTTGTCCTTAATTTTTTTCTGGGTATGCATTACTAGTTTACATTCCTAATTACTAAACAATATTCATTATTACTCTAAGCAAAACGTTTGAAAATAAAACAACTATGAATTAACAAGTGGTATAATTATAATATATTATACATTGTATATTGTTAATTTTATTTCGAGTTTTACATTAAATCAGGTGCTCCATAGTTTTAAACGATTTGGCACCCCGGGATAAATGCTTACATTTCTCCGGCTCCCTTAACACGGCCCTGTGTAGAATGGAGTATACTCAGTACCTTGCTAATTATCATTAGTACCCGAGGGAAATCATCGTGTTTAGTGCTATAAATATAAATTGATATACATCTAACATTTGGCGTGCCCTTCACTTGTAGCGCTTCCGGTGCCTAAGAGAAATTGCCCCTTTTCCCCTACTTTTTATAGTCCTGAGTATACTAGAGAGCCTGTACTATCTTTGGTCCCAGAAAAAAAGGTTTAAGTCAATATTGTTTTAATAATTTTCAATACAAGCAAATTTAGACCAAAAATAAAGAGAATAAATTTTACATTTTACATAAGTAATTATAAAAAGATTACCAAGATTATCGAAAACAATAACTATTAATTGTTATTAATAATAAACACATTAATAAAATTATTACAATAATATGAATTAATATTTATTTTAAATCATAAACATAACATTTACGTTAAAAAAAAAAAAAAAAACAATTGATTAAAAAAAACATTTATTAATATTTAATACATATTTATGTATTGAGTATATTTTTATTCGTTCGTATAAGACGTTACAACTATATAATGAGATATTTCGATCGTTTTGTTTTTTGGTTTTTACTTAAATTTACAATTAATATACATTATAATATAACATAATAATATTATTATGTACGTACATTTCCTACAAATACACATTACAAACGTTGATCTTATTAGGTAGGATCTATAAAGACGACAATAAAATTAAAAACCACAATATTATTAGTGTACATTTTTAAACGTTTCTTAATATTTAAATTAATAATAGTTTGTTTTTTTTTTTGCTCGCTCTTTGTGTTTGTAAAACTCATATTACTAAATGTAAGAGTTTAAACTAAATAATAATATTATAGTGCTGTAAACATTTCGACAATTTCTTATATTGTAATTTTATATACTTTTATCGTTTTTGATTTTAATTTCAATTCTAAAACTGTAATTATATTATTTTAATACACATCGATTCTAGACGAGAACTAGCTGATATTTTTTAAATTTTTAAAATGATTATTGGTAAAATTAACGCTCCCGATTAATTAGATATAGCATCCATTCCTGCGTGAACGTACATTAACCGATCAACCGTTATGTTTTTATATAATATCAACACGTAGCATCACAAATTATATGAAAAACTCCCTTATTTAAAGGGCTATCGTATCAGGAAATGAGGATTTTTTTTCTTTCCAGCCCTGGGAAGTATTTTAAAATCACACCTATATTAGGATGTGTAATACTACTAATACTGAGTATATAAAACTGTTGTTTATATTATACTGTTTATGTAGTTTTATTTATCGTTCTAATTTCTAATTTTTTTTTCTATACTATAAGGCTCCTCCAATGAATACATGAATGAAATGAACTATTATTATTATTATTATTATATCATTGCTATAGACGTGTTATTGAGCGTTGAATTTTTTTTTTTTAGCTTATTAATTAGAACTACCTATTTATTTACTTAATGTATTTCATTATCGGTATATAATCAATTATTGTAATTATGTTTTATTAAAATAATAATACTTAAATATTAAGACTATATTAATACATCAAAAATTATAAGATTATGTCTTTTATATATTGTACATTAAATTATATATAATTTTCTTTTACAATATCTAATTTGTTGAACGTTTAATATAGAACACGACTAATACATATACATACAATATAATTATTATATTTACACTAGTACCTAGTACATTTTAATAGTTAGATAATAAATTATTATAGGTGCACTTAAATGTGTTTATATATTTTTAAGTATTTTAAGTATTAGAATATCATTATTAAAGTTTAAATAGATTAAAGCCTAAAAACAAAAAAAAACAAAAACAAAAAATGTATATATTATATTATACATCTAATCCAGTTCTTAATTAATAATTATTTCATCTACGGTCTTGCATGTTTTTGTCTTCTTTTAACAAATGTATTTTATAATCCACGGATCATCATAACTCATAATTAATTATTCTATGAATATATTAATATTATATTCACATATTATAATTAATAATAATAATTTATACTCATTAAAGTCGGAATTATTTTGCTAAAAATGAGCGAAAACTTTAAACTATTAGTTAATTTTTAGATTTAATCTTATACAAATAAATAAGAGTTTTTAGTGCTTATTTTATTTTAATTCGATATAGATATGTAGATCTAAACACTAAATATTGTACTTGTATTAAATTAAAACATTAGTTAAACAAATTTTTATTAAGTGAATGTAAATATATAAATTGTATACGTGCCTAAAACTATTTTCGAGTATTCGAAATATACACATAATACCTATACAGGTGTAAATGGGCTATAAACAGTGACGTACTAATGTCAACATTTTTTTTTCGAAATTGGTATAATTGTCGTTTGGTACGTATTATATATGATTATTATTATTATCAGTGGCGTACGTATGGGGGAGTTGGGTTTACTTTTCGCTTTCCCTTGGGCCAAAAGAAAAAGAAAAATTATGAGAAAGTATTATTGTTTAATTGTTTCAATGTTACTCTGTGAAGTCACTCAGAAGTAAATAAATATAATAAATACTAATTTAATAACTATATTTTAATTAAGAAGTGTTTAGTGTTTTTTTAACTATTAAATACTCAAATTTATATTTATTCTGGTTGTAAAAAACGAATTTACTTTCATAGAATTTCATTTCGGAGAATTTTTAGATAATAATAAAAATAATCGTAAGAAAACAGGTCAGCTAAAACACAAAACAAAAAATACTGGGCAATTTAAATCGGATGTTCTTAATGGGACACTCTATATTTTATCAATTATAATTGTTTAAATGTTCAAAGATAATTTAAAAATATTTATTTATTTTTTTAATAGATTAACGTGAAAGGGCTTTTACAAATGATTTAGTGACATTTATTACGTAGAATTAACAAGTGATAACAAAATAAGTTTAAAAAATTAAATACAAGTAAAAAGTTTTAGGTGATAATTATACAAGTGGGTTGTTCAATAAGTCTAAAAAAGAACATAGATAAATTAAGAAATATTTAGGTTTAAGTATAATGTATATGCTACATACATATAGGTATATAAGAGTATTATATTGTAAAATTAAAATTGTTTGATATAAATACATTTTTAAACTTCAATATTTATTAGATAATTCAACTAGTTAAAATAAAAAATTAACAAGAATTATGCTATTAAGTAAAGAATAAAATGTTATTGTGAAATAAAAATATGTACTTTTAGTTAAAATTAAATATTTTTGTATAGACGTTCATTAGAGATATTACCTATTTTCTATAACATGATATGATAGTATATCTGAAATCCGAAGTGCCATCACTGGATGGTTCTTCCCTCAAGTCAACATGTTACTGAATATTGCTTTTTTTCTCTTTTATCTTTATTGTTCCACATATGAATAGATTGTATAATATTCTAAACATAATTAAAAAAAACTTTTGAAAAATCGGAAGACATGGTGAAAAGTCGAATTCGTATAACATTTTCTATAATTATCATTATATAAAATCAGATCTTCGTGTGGTTCTCAATAATAATCCTAAATAAATAGTAGGTATATTATTATAAATATGAACATGTTTAGTAATGTTGATTGATAATACTCTTTAAGTTATTGTCGGTTAATTTTGTTTAATGCGAGATATTAAAAATAACATATGATGAAAGATAATTTCATAAAATGTTTATCCACATTAGTATATATTTGGTGAAGTCTGATCCACGCTAAAATGATAATTACTATAGTGACAGCTGTGAAAGTTACTATCATAGTGAACTATCGTCATGTAAATATCAATCGAACTATAGGAATAGCAACTATTACACTATCGTGCATACACATACTAGTTGATAGCATGGACACTAGAGAAGATTGATAGTAACTATCGTGATACTGTGAGAGTGAGATAGTGTCTATCAAAACGTATATATATACGATCATTTTATTTTACTGTAGTGTAGTACTTTTACATACGTGTTTATATCGAACTTTGTAGGTACTATCCTGTATTTTACTACATACATAATCGTGTGGACGCAGTTTATATGATAGTTATACTATCGCAATAATAACTATGATCATCTGGACAATGAATTAGAACTATCACGCATAACACATCCACATTTTAATACTATTAAACATTTACATAACACAATTTACCATGTCATATTATATAGTATTGTAATAATGGCAGAATCCATTTCACCCAAACACATTTTAGTCATTTTAAAATTATGTTGGCAATTGTTTTTGACTAATAATTGAAACACATAGAAAATTATTTAAAAATGCATAATTCATATTATTGTTTTATAAAAGTATGTAGTGTTGAAATTCTCAAAAAAACAATAGACAAATAAACGAAGGAAAAACAAGAATATAATGAAAAACGTATTTTATATAGACCTGGTGAAATAACTATGTATGAGTTTGTAAAAATAATGTGTAGATATTTTAAAAATAGAGACATACTATTTACTATGGGTGGATCACTGTTGTATGTGAGAAGTTAGGAAGGTACGATATAGAGGGGAATTTAATTTATTAGCTGTAGGCAACGATTAAAAATTGCTGACGGAAAACAATTCTGAGCAGATTTTACCACGTCTAGAAAAGGCAAACATAAGTGTTCTATCCAAATTTCAAGTCTCTACGAATATTTTTAACTGAATCACATAAAATAAAAAATTGAAAATAATACATTTCGTAAATTTTCCCATTTTTCCTATGTTTTTTTCTGGTATTACTAATTTATTTTTAAAACCCCTTGGAAAGTTAAAAAATTATTTTCCTAAACTCGAAAGTATCATTCAGATAAAATTACCTTTCAGAAAAGATACTACAATTGTAAGTCGGAGCAAGATTTTTGGTAGAAAAGTTATTCTCAAAAAAAAAATAAATATTTTAAAACCAATAGATTCCCCGATCAATTATAAAATAATAATTTGTATTTTGTGATAACTATTTCAATAATTTTCTATATGTTTCATCTATAATTCAAAAACTATTGCCAACTTAATTTTAAAATAAACTAAAATTTATTTGGGTGAACTGGTAGAGGTTGTGTTTAGGCAAAACGGGTCACGTCAATAATATTATAATGATAATACAGTATAAATATTATGATATAGTTAATTTCTTGTTTAAATTATATAATTTAGACATTTTAGGTATATCTATTGTATTATTATACTCTGATATGATTATAGTGATAAATTTATTTATATTTAAATACGAATACGATTTTTAATTCGGTTATTTTAGAGGGTTAAAATAAATAGTAATAATTTCAATATATAGGTAATATTATATTTTGTATATTATTGTGAACGTATACAATAGTATAAATAGTGTATAAACTATAAATAATTAAATCAATATTATTAATATTCGAATGTCTATACCTACAATTTTTTCGGTTGAATTAAACGAACACGTAGAATGTAGATACATATAAGTATAACAATGTACCTACAATGCAATCTATACAATATTTATCGAGCTGCAAATATAATATGAGTGGCTGTTATACAATATTTTAATTTATAATAATATATCGAGACTTCAACATTTTTACAGCGATAATAATATTAATATTTAAATGTTTTAAATTATGTATATGATAATAATCAGTGGCATAATATGGACTAGGTCTTGGTGTAGGATATATCATTTTTGAAAATTTTGTGGAAGACGTTACGAACTTTTTTTTAGAGGTGTAGGATAGGGTTTTGGTAGAAAAAATTATAGATATAACCTGATAACAAATAAATTATACAATTTATAAAAAGATTTATTCTTTTTGGTTTCAGAACCATTCAGTCCTCTAGAGGTACACTTCTATAGATAACCAATCCATTTAATCGATCTCAATGAACAAAATATTTAGTTATAAAGTACGTAACAAGACAATGAGTAGGTATGTAATGTATAGTATCCTATAATTTTTTTTTTATAGTTTGGAATTATACATAAATATACCTCTGGCATCTTACCTAATCCATAAATAATTTTTAACAGGGTAACATTAGCTACCAATTGTCAATTTGGTGATCATTTTGGTTAAAGTTTAATCAAAAATATTTAAATTTGTATTTATATCGTGCATTCCAAATTTAATTTCGAAATTTGTTATACTCTAACATTTATACGCTATACCATCATAGCATGATATGCACAAAATGTACAACATACAGGACATGTATCAGTGGCGTGGCGAAGTGAAATATTTTATCGGGCAATTCATTTTTTTTAATGACCTACCACCACCCCTCGACTCTTAGGCATTGATCATTATCATTACCTATGAATAAACTAAAATGATAGTGCTTTAAATTGCCATATTCCTTGTTGTTTTTTAAAGTATTCTGGGCTGATGGCTTTTCCTAGAATACTTATTATTAATTTTATTATTCTTATTTAATATCATATGACATATTCTGATGAAGTTAATCTTGTACTACAATTTCTCCATTGACTCCAGTACTCAACCACCAGGCACCCACCCACTCACCACTTAAAATTATCGGGCAATTGCCCCTCAAAATCACGGCCAACACGCCACTGACATGTATAAACTCTAACAGTTTAATATAATATGTATAATTTGGTCTAAAAATACATAGGTAATTTCATAGGATTATCGTGATTTGATTTTTTGTGGATGGATGTACTTATTATTAAGGCTGTGAATTTTATACACTATAAATCCTTTAAAAATGTATTTAAAATCCCTAACACTGTAGTATAATATCCAATGGAACATAACTCTTGACATTCGCTACTGATATATTGAAATAATTAATGACTGCGATTAATCTTATCTTTCGAATCGTGATAATTCAAACGTTTTAGTTATATACTTACTTGTATACACTATACAGGTTGTGTAAAATATTTTAAAATGAGGATATAAAATAAAAACATGACGTATATATATTATAAAACCCGTGTAAATTGAAAAACCGTAGTTCATGTAAAATAGATAAAAATAGTATAAAATAAACGAAAAACAAAAAGTTACCCTCAAAAAAATGAAAAAAAAATTACCTAAAGAATATTTAAAACGTTGAAAATTGCAAAATGAAGGTTCACAATTAAAAAAGCGTTGTTACATGATTCAAACGTTGTGCTAAGAAAGATATTTAGATACAATTTACAGTCAGCTAAAACAATGCCCTTTTGACTTTTTTACAAATTCACAGCCCTTATTATTATATACGTACATACGTGATTTAAGTTTCTAGATTAATTCGTGTTTGGACGTAAATCATGATACTTCATTTCAACATAAAAAAATATTAAAACAATATAAGCACAATAGCTTTGAAATTTGAACAATCATAGGCTTCATAAACTACAAAACTATAACTTATTGTCTGTAGTACTTTTTTTGTTTTATGCCATGTTCATAATAATAACTGATCGACGCATAATATAAATATTTATTACAGAAAAAAATAATGACGTTTTTATGCGGTGGTTCACTGTTCAAATATATGTAATGTATTAGTCATAATATATTATATTTTGTATAACGGTGAATCTGGATCGCAGGTGTTTTTTTTTGGGAGGGGGGGATTTCCATTAGATATCGTTACAACTTATACAGTAAGTATGTTTAACATTTTCTATTTTCATTTCGACTTTTCATTTTGGCTTTCATTCCCTTATATTTAATAAGGTTCCTATATAATTCTGTTGATTAAAAATATCTAAAATACAGCGTTGTATTATTAATAAATTATACGTGAACTACGTATATTTTGAAAAAAAAAGAAGATGTAAGACATGAAAACTAGCTTACGTTACAGATTAGTGATGTAATTACTTGCATTTTTGCGCGGGCAAAATCTGAAACTGACATTTTCCAATATTAAGCGTCAAACTTAATATTAATGTAATACAACAACAGTCACTATTGTCTCCGTCTTCTAAGCGATTACTGACAATACTAATATGACAACGTGTCACTGTCGAAATACGCGTATTTGTAAATTGCAAATTGAAGATTTTTGCAGATGCTATTATATAGTATGGAATAAATCGCGTGAGTGAATCTTCTTTGTACTAATATGTGTATACCAACTGAATTGTTTTTGTTATCAAATTTTTTTCTGACAAATTGAAACTATAATCAAATAACTTTAATATATGACCCTATGTGGTTTGTGTTTTTTTTCCCGTTAATATTGGTCTTTTGGACACCTTTAGTGACTCTCAATGGAACAAATGAGCTTTACCTCGAAAACTAAAGTTGTTTTATAGGTGGATAAAAGCCGGATTAAATTTCAATGTGAATTTCAGCACGTTTTCACATGAGAGGAGTTATTTTTTAAGCTTTAAACAGCCCTATAGACTCTTCAAATGAAGCTTTAGAGATGAAATATTGTATCTATATTGCGTTAATGTTAAAGATGTGGCTTTTGGAGGTTTAATTTTTCAACCCCCCCCCCCCATAATTTTAAAGTTAAAATTTCACATTTTTTTTCTCCTAGTAGTATATTAGGTATACTATTCGGTTGGTCATTGTTTTACAAAAAATACTTCTATAATAAAAAACAGGTGGAGGGAAATTCGATTATATAATATATAGTGGCTCTAGCTACACACTAATGAGTGGTCTTTATTATAAAGTTCGTTTTATATTACATTATATTTATAAATTATGTTTGTAAATTACACCAAACGTTTTCATAATAGTGACCCGAAAAAATAGGTTTAACTACTGATTATAATGAATCAACTGACATGGAATGTGTATATTTAGGGAAGTTTAAATTTAACTGTAACGGTTTTACATTAAATTATGAAATATTATATTGTAACTAGGGCAGTGTGACTTTTTTTACAAGGGTCGATTTAATTTTTGTTTCATTTCGAATAAAAATTTAAACGTTACAGTATCTTTAAACCGTCAATGGCGGAAATAATAATAATCAAACTTTAGACTGTAATATTATTGTCTATTTATTTTATTCATTAGGAGTTTATAAAATCTATCTCTTTTAGAGAGATTTTAGTGTATTATTTTTTGTACACAAATATGTATAACTAAATATCACCTTGAAATGTACGATATTATACGATCGTGCGAATTTTCACTTCTGTTAACATACGCGTTATATATTATAATTGGTTTGTTAGATCTCTTTATTTGTTTCTTCTTTGTGGACATTAAATTTGTGCGGCCTGCACGCGCATCCCACACGAGCCCACTGTATACTGAGCTACACGGAAGACATTAAATTTTATCGGTTTTCTGCAAGAGTGATATTAATAAATAGAAATGATGCTAATCTGAACAAAATTAATGCCATTCGAAATAGTATCACGTCCGTTGGCACCACGTCGCAGTGAATATATCAGATGGGTTTGAAATTGGATTTTCGCCGGGTAGATAACAACATGACCGCTAAACATACCTCCTATTCGCTTGATTGATGTCCAGAAAATGTTGTCGGTCTAATAGTCCGTGTTAGGTAGTCCAATATTTGCATAGCCGTGCACACAGAGTGTCTTAGGTGTATCGTGGCACTAGCACATCCCATGGTCCGTGAGCAGAAAACGAAATTTATTTAAATACATGTTAACCCACTATAAGTAGAACACTATTGTAGTTAACTAACTAAAAAACCAAACCAACCAGCAACCACTAGCCGTAATATTACTAGACAATTCGAGGTTTATTATAGTAGTGATAATGTTAAGTTTTTTTAAATTTAATTTTAATTCTAATGTAATAAATTATTATAAAAAAACCTGGTCGTTTTTAAAAAGAAATTTTTTTAATAGTTATTTATTGAGATACAAAAGTAAAATAATGTTGCCATGATTTTTAATGAATTATTAATATGTTGCATTCACTATCTTGGTTTTTAGAGGATCAGAATATAAAGTCCATTTAAGAAAAACCGTCCATTTTTTTAATGACACACTCTGCGAAAAAATACTGTGGACGCCTATAAATATTTGGTGATGTTTATTATGACGTTTGGATTAAATACTGGAAATTAGGATATTTACTGTAGGAGGGAGGATGAGAATAACCAACCCAGCTTTGGTGGGATAAAGGTGACTAGTATTTTATTGTACGAGAAGAAGATAATTTTTTGTTGTACATAATGACTACAGAAAAAAATGTTTCTTTTCGGCCTATCGTGTCGGATTCTCGAATTTGTTCTTTTATTAAACCTCTCGTTGCATTAGTGTAAATATCGGGTGGGCTGATGGAAAAAAACTATGAAAAGTGATGATGGTTTTCGCATTACACCACGGACAACTTAACAATAAAACATTAAATAACGATTAAGTATCAATAGCATTGAAGGTGTAGATTATTTTATCGTAAAGCCTGTGGTTTTTCGATCATATTATTCGGACACTTTTATCCATTAATTAATTAATCATTTATTTATTTATTAAAACCAAAATACTAGTGGAAATATTAAACAAATATTTAATTTAGGATACTGTGATATGAATTTTGTACGTACAAAAAAATAAATAGTTTGGTGCCTATGTAAGAATTCATTAGATTCTGAGAAAATCGAGAAATGTATGGTTTTGCTATTACGATATTTATTTTTATATTTAAAAACATCTTTTCTACCAGAAGTTTTGCTCCATAGAAAATTTGTATAAAAACATTTTTGTGTAATTTTTTATGTAGTTGGTGCATTAGTTGATTTTAATTGAAGTCATTTTTTAATTTTCCATATAGTTTTCATAATAAATAGGAAAAACTGAAAAGGATTGTATAATTTTCGTGGTTTCTGAATTATCTTGCCGACCAGGAGAAAATAATACTCTGCTCGGAATCGTGTTTCGTTAGTAATGATTTGTCAGTTCTATCCCAAAATAGTGGTACACCCAGCAGTAACCGCTTTTATTATTATATTTTTATAGTTCGAAATTATGTTGTTAATTATTGTTTAATTTACATTTGAATATAAATATTGAATATTCTAATAATATTTACTTGAAAATTATATAATTGTTTATTATGTATTGGATTTCCTTGTAAATACCTAATACGAATATTATATTATACACATTATAATTATTATACAGTCACCCTAGCTTACAGTACAAATATTTTAAATATATATTGTTCGATCTACCTGAGAAATCGCAGAGTTACGTGATACGTTAAGTGATTTAAGGGAATAGGCGTAGGAAAACGTGTATATTCAGTATCTCGGGGAGCCAGTGCGCGTCTGTATATAACTGTTAAAATCGATTAAATGGATTGGCAATGTTGATAGTTCATTAAAGTGTATTTGATAAGAAGATGTTCGAAATGGATTGGCTTTAAAGCCAAGGATAATAGATATATGTTTTGTATTATGGTGATTTTGCTCGAAATAAATTAAATAGTCAAGTATTTATTTAAAAAAAAAAAAAGATGTACGCATGTTATCAATTACGCCGCTAATTCGACTAATATAGGATTATTTACATTATATTATAACGGTATACAAACAAATGTTATGTATTTATTGTAAATATATTTTGCTGGACGATTAAAATATATAAATAATGAAATTGAAGATCGAACAGTTTTTGGAAAAATCGAAAATATTTCATAATTTTATACTCATGGAAATTGAATTCGGATCGAAATTAGTAAAATATCGGAATGACATTCAAATACTGTTGACGAGAAAATATTAATTAATGTAATATAATATAATATAATAGTATTTCAGTTGTGTAAAGTTCGTGGAATTTAAATATAATAATTGTGAATCCTTGAAGTTAAATAGTTAAATATAAAATAACTGTTTGTGTGTTTGCTATTACGAATTTTTATTTTTTTTTTAGTCGATATTTTATTAATGATAATAATTACAAACGAACAATTTATTGACGCTCGAAATAAAGCCATTATTTATCAGATAGGTCTTTTGTCTTTTTATTCGCAGTGATATATTTTTTTAATTTCTTACACGTTGAAATGAAAACACCAGTTACAAATTAAAAAAAAAAAAACAGACTAAAACTAAACAATCAAAACATTAATCAATGGGAAAAAATATACGTGTATATTGAATATTGTTTAAAGAACGACGTGGTATCTGTACTTCGTTTATTTTGCGGTCGGCGGCGGCGCACCTTTTTCCTAAACAATACGAATTCAAAATAAAAACTACAAAACTCCTAGGGAAGTAGCGAAATAATACGCCGTCGTGTATTTTGGTTTACCGGTGTTTTATCGGTTATCATGAAACCTTATACCTATACTTATATCTGTATAAACGCACAGCAAATAATATTATGATGTTTGTCTGTGTAAAACCGTTTTTCCGCTCAAGTACCTATATTTTGATCAGATAATATTCCCTATCGGCAGCACAAAGTCCAACGTATGGTGCATACATAGGAATTTCGAGAACGATGAGAGCACACTCAATTAACAAGACTATTGTCTGTGCCTCACTGAATTAATATTTGTCTTAAAATACAAAACATCGTTCAAACTTCACCAAATAAACCACTATACAAGTGAAAAGGTACCTACATTATATACGATGTCCATTGTGCTATGCAAAAATATATTATTGATATCTATATGCTATAAATAGGTAATCATGGACCGAGGAGGTAATTCGTACGAAAAATTTAAGTGAAAAGCAAAAGTAACCGAGGAGAGTGGAGAATTGCTCCAAACCGACCAGTATTCACGTTTCGTGTGTTTGAGTACGGGTTTAAAATATTTCTTGAAAAAGAACGAGGTAGCGCGAAAACCTAATATACCATTCAGTTTAAATACGATATTGCGCCAAGAAGACGTGTTAACCTAATCTATAAAAAAACACGATAGGGTTGAATGGAAATTTAAATAGGAGTGACATAGAAAAACCACATTGATTAGGTCATGGTAATCAGAGGATGATACGAAATTACCAAAGGATATTCATTTCGTTGGTATAAATTATTGTGGTTTATTTGTTTACTTAAACGTGTACTTTATTTGCAGACCAAAAGTATAAAAATTGACCGATACTACTTTTTATCAATAACCGGTAGTCAGATATATGCTACCGATGTCTGCGATATCTGAATATTTTAAAATCAAAAATTATGAGTTATTATTGAAATTAGTTGAAAGTCTGATTTTTTTTTCAACATTCATACCACCTGTATCTTGTATCGATTTACGTATTGGCCCATCCCCAGAAAAATATCAAAATTGATCCGATTATACGGCGACCGTTGAAATAGTTTACATCTGCGGACTATGTGAAAAAATTGTTCTATGTACCTATACATTATATTCACTGTGGCGGTTTTTAAACTTTTTCCTCGTGAAGGGGGGGGGGGGTTCTTACAATATATTTAACATATAAAAAATATTTGCTAATTTATTTTAATTAACTTACATATACTTTTTTACTTATCTACATGAATGTATCTAATGTTATTTTAATTAACAACAAAGTTTAAGATTAGTTTAAAAATTATAATACAAAATTTACTTTTCCTTGTCTAAAATCGGAGTCTGGGGGCGTCCAGACCCTCTGTATCTTCCCACTCCCGTAAAACCGCCACTGTATATGCATACTATTTTATTCGTCGATAGAATGTTTACTAAAGTAGTTATAATTAATACATCCTTAGATCCTGCATTAGAAAAGGTAAAAAAATAACTAAAATCAATAGTATTGATGATAATTTACAATTTTGTTACGAGGCCTTTTTTGGATAAATGTTCTCAGACCCCAGGTATCAGTAAATCAGACTAAATCGGGCTTGAATCTAAGATCGTTTAAATTTTAAGAGTCAGAATAACCGTCGATATTTACCGTTAAAATATTTTATGGATTTTCAAAGGGTATGCAAATTCATGTTTATTTCTATTTTTATAACCTATTTTTATATATACATAGTATTGCTAATAATATTCATATGATTATTCGTCTTGATCGATATTCGTTAATTATTATATAATATATACTTATGTATAAATTTAACAATACAAAAAAAAAAGTATGAATCGTCAATAAATTTTAACGAGAGTCGTTTCTACCCGATACATCGATATATTATAATATACAATAAATAATATGTTCAATTAATATATTGACCAGTCACTTACGGGGTTTTAGCCGTTTCTACGAACTGCTGTAGTTAGATTCTTCAAACGACTTGTCGATGGACATGATGTCGGAACACGTTTGCGACAGCGACATTTTGCTGTCGGTGGTGTTTTGTGACGCGACGGGTCTGGACTGCCCGTGGACGGACGACCGGTAGTGATTGCGTTGCGGCGAAGTAACGGCCGAACCGCCGATCATACAGCCGCCGCTGTCGCTACGACTCGCGGTCCTGGCCCATTCGGCGGTGTCTACGACGTCGTTGGCGGAAGACCTCCAGCCCCTGTTGCCATCACTGACTCCACCACTGCCATCTCCATTTCCGCCGCCACCGATGACTCCGCTACTGCCACCACCGCCGCACACTGGCGAGCCCGACCTCCGGCGAGCCACCACGTCCGAGCAACTCGAGTCCTGCCTTCTGCGCTTCGACCTGACCACGTGCGGGACGTCGCATGTTGCGGATCGCGTGCACCGTTTAGTCCGCTGTCGTTGCTCTGCCGCTGTGACGTTGGCGGCGTACGCTATTATAGCGTCGTCCAGCTCCACTGGTGTCTGTCTGCATAGAACGTGCCGCCGAGCCGTGTCTGACCGACGGCTTCTGTCCCGTACCCGCATAGTCACAGGACACTCGTTGGGCACGTGCAGGTCCAATACCATAGATCCACGCGACCCTCTGCACGCTCTGGGATCGTTGACCGATTCCCCGCTGCCACTGCCTTGTTTATTACTGCCGATATTGTTGTTATTGGTGCAGATATTACCGTTGTCGTTATTGCTGTTGTTGCTGTTGTTATTGTTGTTGTTGCATGTCAGCAGACCGGAGCTGCTGTGCCGGGACCGTGGTGGTGAGAAGAACGGGTTGTAGTCTTGTGTGTCCATCGACATGGCTTGCCGGCGCAATGCGTGTGGGCTCAACAGAGCACGGCCACCACCCGGCGATAACACGTGCACCGCATGTTTGTGCCTGAGTGGCAGCCGGCCTGCAGCGGTTCCGGACCCGGGCCCGCGGTTCGCCGCAGCCAAATTAGGCGCGGACGGACTCTTATTCATCTTGTGCCGGGCAACGTCGCAGGGGTTTTGATAACAGCTGCTCCGGCCGCTGTCACCCCGGGATAGGTAACCACCGAATGGCGTCTGGCGCCCGTGTCCACGGTGGCCAGGAATCGTGCCCGTGCCCACGCCGACGACTCCGCCACTCCCCATTATTTTCAATTGATTTGACATGAACTTGGCAGCACGGTCGCGTGCCTCAAAAGTCATCACACACGCTGCGACCACAATAAATCCTGCAAGAAAACACCATCGTGTTATTATTTTTTCCGTCCGTGTTTTTCCCACAGAATTCTAAGCGTTTGCATTTTTATATGCAGTTATTGATTTTTTTTTCTCTTGAGTTATTTTGCCCTCAAATGCTGATATATTATAAAATAAATACCTACCACAAAGAAAAGTAACCCAGTGCGTTTCATGTACACATTTTATGGCGTATCGAATTTTAATTTTGAGGACCGGGCAATTTAAATTTCGATTGTATACGATAAAATTATAGGTATACACAACTTAATTTAGTGGGTGAATATTTATACAATAGTTTGAACTTTTAAAATTCAAATTTAGCATGGCCTTGTTCTCAAAGTTCGGGTCATGCATGTGTTACGTACTCATATTAAGTTTTTGTTCTGCAGATTAAAATATGACTTATTTCGACTAAATGAACACTCGAGAGATTGTATTTTTTATACTTATAAAATATATTATATGAATTTATTACTTTAAAATTTTAAGTGAGATTATATGAAATATTTTCATTTTATAATGACCTTGTCGTTATATTCCAGAGAGAAAATTACTTATTATAAATAATGCAAAAGCATATATTTATTGCAAAAGTTTCATGCAACTTAAGTATCGATTAAAATATATGTAACATACATATTATATACCTATAATATAAATTTAATGTATAGTTAGATGTCTATGATGCAGTGCGTTATATAAAATCATGATACCGAGAAAGTTGGCAAAGTTAAAACAAAAATCAATACATAGTTTTTGAAGAAAACCACGAATGGTAAAAACTATGCAACTTTTAGTGAATTTATCAAGAAGTCGTTCGTTTTTGAAGTTCAAAAACTTTTCGAACACTTTTTAGAAGTAAAAGTTTTTTGAGAATGCCATACGATAATACACATTATGTACCTACATTATTTTTAGAAAATAAATTAATTGTAGATTTTATTTAAAAATGAATATGGTACAAATATCACAGTGTTTATTTTAGATAATTGTTTTAAAGAAATAAAAAAACAAATTAAATAATATTAGTTTTCCAATAAACTTTTTTTATATTCACATTATTCACGTTTAATAATCACATAGTTAAAGTTTATAATTTGTATAAAATAAAGTTATAATTATACAGTATATAAAAATCCGAAATATTAATTGAAAATGTACGTATTTTATAAAACTTTTTCCAGAAGACCAAAAGACAAGTTTTCAATTGTGTTTTTATTGTTAATAACATTTTTTTGTGTACGAAAAAAAAAATAATAATAACAATTTGTAAACCATAACACTGCTCAGAAACGTTTTTCAAAAAATAATTCAACTGTGTTCTAAATTTGTAAAAAATTTTTTTCGTAATTTAGTTTCGATCTGTTAACAATAAATTATAATAGTAAATATAAAGGGTGTCCATACACATTGCGATATCTCCTGAAATAATGAAGATAAATAAAATTCTGTTTTTTATAAATAAAATAAAGATTGGTTTTATCTTTTTTAATCATACAAAACATATTTTGATTATCATTGTTATCTCAGGAAATATAATATATAATTTACAATATCTTTATGGGACAATTATTCTGTGTTAATAAATAAATAAATATTTACCTCCAACACCCATAACTATTGGTCCGGCATAAGACAGCTTATATATATGAGACGTTTTCTTCGTTGTTTTCGCCGTATGTATAGATGTACTCGAATTACCAGTGTCGGTATTTGTGACAATGTCATCTGACGAAAGCTGTTCGGCATAATAACCTACATAATATGTATAATAAAAGGTAAACAAAACGTTCGTTAATCGTGTAGCTAAAATTAATTTTAAAGTTCATTTCGTGTATAGAAAAATCAATTTAACTTTAGAGAAATATCATATTATATCTTAATCAAAACGTTAAATATATATATATTCAAAAGGAAAGGATGTGTGTTTGAGATTTAGTTAAGCTTATACAAGCTGCATATTAATATTTAAATTAAACTTATATTTTTGCATATGCATGTGCCGAGGATTAATGAAATTATAAGTGACCTGGAGTTAATCCGTTCCGGAGGCTCTGATCTTATAAAAAATAAAAAATAAAAGCGATTATTGCGGCGAAATAGAAATTAATAATCGGTATTTTGTTTAGAATATTTGTATTAAATATTATTATATCTTGTAATAATTTTTATGTTTATAATGTTTATTTATTAAAATGATGTTTGCTGGGATTTTTTATATATATATATATATATTGTGTAAAACATTTCTACCAGAAATCTTGTTCTGATATTTCAAGTCTACCACCATTCCTGAAAGGAATTTTATCTAGTTATTACTCTAAGGAAGTCATTTTTAATTTTTCTGGCGGTTTTTATAATAATTAGGAAAACCTGGCAAAAGAACATAGGAAAAATATAGGGATAAACGGATGAATATTTACGGTGTAACGATTACATAATTTTACATTTTTTTTAACTTATGTTTTCTATTAAAAATCTTGCTTCATTCCAAAAATGACGTTTTTTGTTGCATTTATTTTCCATCATTTATAATGACTGGATTTGTATGATGTGGCCTTTATATGATTTATCATTCATCGTGTTCCAAAACCCAAACAGAAAATTATATTAGATGTGCATAGATTATTTATAGACTTAGCCGTATACTACATATTATAAAGCACGGATCATTTGCATAGCTCTTATATAAATAATAATAGAAATTATAATAATGATAGTGACGCAATCAAAGATGTGTTTTCCTACCTAGGACAATTGCATAGCCCAAGAAAGTAGCTGGGGAAATAGGTTGGTTATTTAGGTACATTCTAAGCTATATTGGTTTTACACTGATGTTTATTATAGATTCGGAGCGTAGTGATTTTTTTTTTTTTTTTGGTTTTACTATGTGTATTTTTTTAAATTTTAGTAGGTGCAGTAAAAAGGTAATTTTTTGATTTTCTAAGGGGTTTTAAAAATAATTTGGAAAAACCCGAAAGAAAATTTTAGGTAAAATATCAAATATTTACGGCTTACCGAAGCGTCACTGTATTCATTATCTTAATTTTTGTTCACGATGTTTTTCTACCAGAAATATTACTTCAATTAAAAAACAACAAGTGATCATTTTTGTTAAATTTTTAATCTAGTTGGTGATTAAAAAAGTTTTATTTTAATTTTCTTTGTAGTTTTTTTTCATAATTGAACAAATCCGCAAAAAAACGTATAAAGAACGGGAACATTTATGAAAATTATTCTTGTATTATTTTAAATTTAATTTTTTAATGTAATGAAAGAAATTGTATTCATACTTTTTTTAGACGTAGTCAAATTTTTAATACCTTGTGGTGCCTAGCTATTATAGATATTTTAATTTTGTGAGTATTTTTACGTCATTTTTACTTGATAGGTACCTACTTTGTGGATAAAACTGTTAGATCAAACAGAGAATGCTTGAAAATTTGAAAAAAGGTTCATAAAAAGTAGTACTTGGTGGAAAAAAAATCAAGTGTAATGCAAAATTTTTTTTTATAAGAATTTATATATCAAATTTTAACGAAAATCGTTAATATTACGACCTTTCAAAACATGAATCAGTTAGGTTAAAATGAGTTTTTCCTTAGCAATAATTAATCGTTGCGTACAGATATACATTAAATTTCCCCTCTACCTTCCTAACTTCTCATCTACAACAGTGACCCACCCATCCTGCGAAGTATGTCCATATCTTTTTTAATTGTATATTTGATTCGCGGTTAAAATTATCTCATCGCTACGCCACTGCCTGGAGATATATATAAATATTACCTATTAAGTTCTTTTAAAACTTACTAGTTAATTTTAAGTCAAATATATAATATAACTATGGGATTTTACATTTTCTTTTATTCAGAATTTACAAAAAACTTAATTCTATACGAGTTTTAGACTTAATGCGTAGGTAAGTCGCCTATTTATAATTATGTCGTACACCGTCGAGACCTAAAATACTAAAGTTTAATAATATAAATATATATTCCTTTCACGTTGCTGTTTTCTGTTTTATGAGTATTACCTAATTGTATTCTATGGTTAGGTATCTCATACAAATTTGAAATTATTTTTGTATTAAGTAATTCGATTAAAGTAAATCTTTCCGTAACGTTTTATTAATTCCCAAATAATAATGAAATATTATATGTTTGCCTACCTTTCCAACGTCCACACTATTAGAATATCTCAATAATTCTACTTTATTTAGTTGTGATATCAGTTATTTACCTAGTGTAATGTAAATGTGAAACAATAATCATTATCCATTAATAATGAATGATGATTAATATAATATTTAGATAAAAACATGAATCATTGATTTATTTGAATGTTTCAATATAAAATTATTTTTTTCCTATTACAATAGCAGTTATTTTTACAAGAAATAAAAAATGTTGAGTAGCAACCATAGATATATAACAATATAATATATGAAGGTAACAATGATAGCAAGTAAAAATAGTTGCACATTAATCAAATTTTACAATATCACTGTGTTATTGTTAAATATTTTTCACAATTAAACAAATTTAACATCACTGATAGTTATTTGTGACGTTGCAGTGTGATAAAATCATTGCTACCTACTTTATGTATGTACGTTTGTACATTAGGCACGCTATTATTGCTACTCATTGAAATCATTAAATCACAGTGAAAAGTAACAGTGACTGCTACTTTTTAACATCACTATTAGGTACTTACATAAGTATAAAATAGAACGTTTTATAACCATATTCTTGTACAATATACTGATACATAACGTACTTATACAATTGTACGGATTGTTCTTGTATATAATTTAAATAATTTATTTAAACATTCATTATTATTATTATCTTCTCTTAAGTCACCTGCCATACCGCTACAAAAATGATGATCCGTTACACTCCGCCTAACCAAACTTAAAATTAAAAAAACTCGATACCGAGTTGACGGAAATTAAAAATTTCAACCTAAAAATGTATTTAAATTAAAATTTTATTTAATGGAATTTTTAATACAGATTTCTATTTGATAATTAAAATTGTATCCCCAAAAATAAGGGTAAACAAGTAAAGATAATGTAAGATTTTAAAAATATGATTCCAAAAAGTTTTACATAAATCATTTTTTTTTTTTAAATTAGTTTTTCATAGCTAATTTGACAGTATCATGGAATTTAAAAACTTCTGAACTGAATATATGTTTTTTATTTTTTTTGGGGGGGGGGGGTTATTCAGCCACTAGGACCATCCCGTCTCACAACCAATTCTCCAACCATCACTATTCATTGTCGTATCCCTTCTGTTTGATCGACGTCTTAATGCTTCCACGTCCTTCTTAATTATACCCTGAATTAATAATTTCTTTTTTTTTTGTTTTTATTAACATGGATAGGTATATCAATGTAAGTTTTTAAATTTTTCTAATTTTGAATACTCTATAGTTTAAATCTATTCAAGTTTTGACATGTTATTTACCATATTATCGAACATTATGAAATTTGCCATTTTTTTATTATGTTAATAATATGTATTGGAATTTAGGAAGGAAAAATTAAAATTTGTAAAAAAAGAAATGTGTTAGTTTGGTTTAACGTGTACAATCTAGCGTCCTGACCTATAATCACATTTTAATCAATATTCAAGCTACTCACTGAATTGTTTTTTACGATAATATTACCTTTATATTTAATAAATTATTCTATTGATTCAATGAAATTATATAGGTACACTATATAGACGAAAGGTATTGACTTGTTTTCTGTTTTTAAGCGCATATTTAACGGTTTTCGGTAAAAATGTAAAAATAAAAACCCCGAGTTTTATAATTCATTAACTAAATCAGGAATATGAATCTTAGTTAGATTTTCTGTATTTCCTATACATATTAATTTTTTTAATAAATATTTAGCTATTTTTTAGTGCATAAACATTTAAACTCTGATCTAATAATATTACTTTGTTTTTGTTTTAGATAATTAATTACTTCAATTATACTACGAATAATACGATTTCATTTTAAAGTGTTTTTTATTGTCACTAATATTTGTTTTTTCTTTCTCACACGTAATATAGTAATAAAGGCAATCCGCACTTCCACGATTGCGACGTTCTGGTTGAATTTAGGACAAAGGGATCTATTATATACGTTTTAAAAAAATGAAAGTTTTTAAAAAATCATTTGTAGAGACCATATAAAGTACTCTTCATCCTTGAAAAATGAATAATAGAGCACTTTATCCTAAACTCAACTAGACCATCGCAATCGTGGAAATGCGGTATTCCTTTGGTTGTTATATTATGCGTGAGGCAGACAAGAAAAAATAAATGTTATTGGCGAGGCATTTAAGACTCCTCCCCCCCTCCAAAAAAACAATATTTTTAATCGATAACATTTAATTGTCATATAACTTTAAATAAAAATTATACATAAAAAAAAAAAACAAATTATATAGCTTGTTTTAAAAATTAAGGTTCGATAATTTCCTATAATAAAAATGTTTTATCGATATAGTTATGTGTGTTTAAATTTTGTGACATATTTTATACAATAAAATCCAATTTGCAGTGGCATGTTTCAAGATTTAAATTACATAAGCAAAATGTTTATTCATTAATTGTATTTACGAAAAAACTGACACCATATGCTCCTCAGATTATATATTATATAACCATTCATCGACCGTTTTAGTCAATTAAATTTTTTAACTAGAGCAATATTTATGGTAGAAAACATAATTTATAACAAATTAAAACAAAGAAATCGTCACGCCGTAAATTTGTCAGTTTTCATTTTACGTATTTTTCCTAATTTTTATGAAAACTAACTACAGTCTTGGAAAATCGAAAAACAACTTACTTACTCACCAGCAAAAGTAAAAGAGCTGATACTGGATACGGGTGAGGTGTTTTAGGTGCGTAGTTAGAAAAGTGGGGTACCTGAAGTTATTTAATTTATACCTGTAACCAATGTTAACCAACGAAAATCGATTTGGAGCAAAGTTCAGTTATATTTAAAGACCGTAATATTCACAATTTAATTTTAAAGATCTTATAAAAAATAATAATAATACATTAAACTAAATTTATTTTTATGGCTACTAAGTACAGTTTATAATGGCCTATCAAATTTTCAAGCATTTCAGAGTACCTACCAAATAAAAATTACTTAAAAAGTTCAAAATTGCTCAAATATGGTAAAAAAGTATTGAAATTTGACCACGCCTAGACAAAGTATACATAAGTTTTCTGTCATTACATTGAAAAAACAAAATTTAATATAGGTAATAAAAGAGTAATTTTCGTAAATGTTCTGGTTCTTTCTGTGAATTTGTCGGTTTTGCTGAAATATGAAACAAACTACAAAGGAAATCAAAAAAAAATTTCTTGATCATCAATTAAAATAAAAATTTAACAGAAAAGATCTCTTGATGTTTTTCTATTGAAGTAATATGTATGATAAAAAAACACAAACCGAATAAATTTAAAATAATACAATTGTTGTGCCATAATTTGAAAAAAAACCTTATATTTTGTCTTTTTTTGGTTTTTCCCAATTATTATGACAACTGATTGGAAAACTAAAAAAAAATCTACATCAGTGACTAATTAAAAAGGGCAAAAAATAATTATTTTGGCATTTTATAATTTAAGCGAGATATCTTGTTATATTCATAATAGAAAACATTATGTACATAAGTTTATAATTATGATGTCGACATCGTTATGTTGCGTTTAGGTATTACGTTGCGTCATGGGTACTTATCCACTTTTCTGATAATTATTTTTCCGGTTTTTCTAAATAATTATGAAATCTTATTGGAAAATCAAAAATCACGTCCTCAATGCACCAACTATATTCAAAATGCAACAAAAAGTTCTCCTGTTATTTTTCGTTTGGAACAAGTTTTCTCTTTGAAAAATTATTTAAAAAAAAAACACATCATAGTAAAACCAATGGATTCCTCGTTACGTTTAGAACCTAAAAAGTGAAAAACCAAAGGCATAGAGTGAATTAACTATTAAGGGGAAATACTTATAAAGTCAAATTCGTTAAAAGTTTTCATTTTGCTATGTAGTGAGGGTCTATTTTAATATTTTGTTTCTCTTTTTTGTTTCAGAAATATTACTCCAAAGTATAATAAACTTTCTAAAAGATAATTTTGTCTGGTTAGTGCAATAACGAGTTCACTTTTTGATTTGATATGGGCTTTTTAAAATAGTTGGAAAAAACCCGAAAGAAAATTATAGGTAAATCTGCAAATATTTACGACGCGCCACACCAAGGCCTTACTGTTTTCATTGTTTTTAATTTTTGCAACTTATGTTTTGTTTGTCTATTAGAGATATTTGCTCTAATCCAAAAATGATTAGAGATCGATTTTGTTCCTTTTAATATGTAGCCAGGGAGGGAGAAAGTTTTTTGGTATCCAATGTACTTTTCTTAACAATTAGGAAATCCATAAAATACATAATATATGATTTGTTTCAAATTACGGTACAACGATTTCATTATTTTTAATTTTTACAGCTTATGTTTTCTACTATAAATATTGAACTAATAGATAAACGAAAAGAGACCAATTTTGTTGGATTTTTAATCTAGTTTATGAGTAAAGTATTTGTTTTTTGATTTTCTTCATCGTTTCATTAATTATTAAGAAAAACCGGAAAAAACGTAAAATGAAAACTGACAAATTTACGGCGTTACGATTTCATCATTTTAAATTTGTACTGCTTATATTTTCTACTATAAATATTGCTCCAATATAAAGCATCAAGAGATCTTTTATTTTTTATGTGAATTTTTAATCTAGTGACCATGAATATCGTTTTTTGATTTTCTTTAGAGTTTTTTTTTTTTAATAATTGAGCAAAACCGAAAAATACATAGAAAGAACAGGGAAATTTACGAAAATAGTACTTTTATTATGTAAATTTTAATTAAATGTAATTCTGTTTAAATATCCGTAGAGACTTTAAATGTTGACAGAAAACTTATATTTACTTTTTCTAGACTTAGTAAAACTTTCAGAACATTTAAGCAGTTTTTAAGCTATTTATAGTTATTTTAATTTTGCGAATTTTTAAGTAATTTTTATTTGATTAGATATTTTGTATATAAACTGTCACACTTAACAGACATACTTGAAAATTAAAAGGAGGTTTATTATAAGTCGTAACAAATGGTCAAAAAGGAAAAATTATTTTAATAAAGATTTTTTTTCTGTAAGTTATAAAGTAAAATTTAGATGAAATTCGTAAATATTACGGCCATGAAATCATATATAAACGAAGTTCGCTTGGAATCTTTTTTCGTTAGCAAAGTAATGATTTATTGTTGTTTACTGATATAAATATTAAATAACTTTATATGTATCGTATTTTTTTTTTATTACTACATCATTACATCGTACGTGCAATTATATACTATATAATTTAACCAAAAACAGTTTTACATTTTTTTAATAATTATCTATCCGAAATACAATATCAAAAATAAATCATTCATCAAAATTACCATGGATCATATTATATGACGTAGGTACTTATACGAATTACGATAGTATATTATTTAGTTAGTCTGCATTCTACGCGAGCGTAAAATGTATAAATTAATATTAGGTTATACATATATTATTATTATTGTTATATCGTACGATATGTTTAATTTTTATAATACGTGCACTTACCAATAATGGCCATTATGGCCCCGACAGCCATCAAAAACAATCCAAAAGATAATGCCTTGCACGCGTTCCAAAAGCATTTTTCTGCGATCGCTTTACTAGCAGCACTCAGGATTTGAACATCAACGTTTGTTCGGCGATCTAAACCAGACATCCGATATGAAGAGCTACATTGCCGCATCGCACTGTGTACAAAAACGGTAAATATTTAATGTGCAAACAATTTTGTACAACAAGGTCAAGCATATTTTTCTTTTAAAGATTGAACGACAGAAACGATTTCAATAGGTAAAAATATATATTTAAAGAAAACAGTTTCTCGCTCTAACATACTACGTTATCAATGTTTTTATAAAGTTTTACCATTATTCATTATTTCTTCATAGAGATAATTAGTAAGGTCAATAAAGTTTTAAGTAAGAGCCAGAACATATTTATAAGGCTTAATACCCACCTACAAGTAATGAAGTAACTGATACAGTGTGTTGGATACACTATTAACTACTATTTGATAGATACCTTTTAGGGATGGGCATGAAATACGAATATCCGGATTATCCAACTATCTAGATATTCAAATCCGGATTTGAATTAAATTCTTATCAGGATTTTTTGAATTATCCGGATATCCAGATTTGCTTTTTGTTATCTGACTATATTACCCTATTTCTTCGAAGCAAGACGACCGAATCATACAACTTAAAGTGATATCTAATGGCGAAAATTTAAATTATAAGATTGCTTGTTATAAGCGAATTTACTGCGTTTATGTAATTTACTAATATGGGCTTTATTATGTAACAATTACCATTTTGCGTAGAGAATCACACGATTAGATAACTGTTCGAAACTCGTAAATTTTAAATACTCGTAAGCCCGTAGGTAAACCTACCCACTGCAGTTAACTTATCTTTACATAAATATCAAATAATTATTGAAAATGCTACATAGGGATTATACAGCAATAATATTATTATTGATAAAATTATATAGACATACGTATACATTTTTATTATAAGCCTGTTTTTTTTATATTTATCAAATAAAAATTATCGTCAAATATCTAAAATAATCGAATGATACCTTATAACTAACAAAATGTGTAGAATAATTCAGATTTTCTATATAATTGTTATAAGAATAGGAACTTTTATTATATACTCATACGATATATTCGTAACATCAAATTTTTTTAAAAATAAAATAAAAACACGATAGATATAATATGTGAAAACAGTGTATTATGAGGTATTAAAATTCAACATTTTACCAAAATATATAAATTTTTTTCTTTTACTATATATATAATAAATAATAATATATACGTTTTATGAAACAGTGGTTAAAGTGGAGGTACACATTTCCCCTTATTATTTAAGGTAAAGTTATCAATTTTAATGAGTTATTAGTTAAGTTTTTGAAGTCCAATGGAAAGCTTTAGTTATTTTTAATGGAATCTTAAAATCTCGAGTTCACTTTGTACTTTTACTATGCGTATAATAATATTTGAGGAAGAAGACAGTTTACTTTTAAACCCAATTTATATAAACAAATGAAATGTGTGAGAGAAAAATATTTTGGAACTCTTGGTTCCATAATGGGTTTCCCGAAAGTTTGATAAGGTCGAGTTAGTTCTCGGGAACGCCCCTTGATTTTCGGCGAATACAGTAGTCCTCCTTCGAAATTTTTCCCAGTTTAACTACTGTTATGAAGTGCATAAACGTGTAATAAAGCTTGAGATGTTAAAATTTCAATTTCATTTCTTTACTCGGTGTATTTTGTCGCGGGACCTAATATCCAATATTATTGCCAAGTGAGATAGAAAATAAAAAATCATCTGAGTCTCAAAACCAAAAGGGCCTACTTATTATTTATTTTCTATGGTTCTACAGTTATTATATGTATAACCTAATAATAAATAAGTACCTTAAAGCTCCTCAAATGTGAACTCAAAAAAGAATTATTAATTTTATCAAGTATAAACCATAACAAAAAAATTATAAATTTTCGAAATTGAAACATATTATATATAATAATTTATAATCAGACTTGAGTAAAAGTATTATTTTTAAAAAGACGTCCTAGGATAATGGAGACCGGTGCAGCCACTATTATAGATAATTTAATGTATACCTGTAAACAAAGATTAAACATTGATAACGAAAAAAACGATTCTGAGCGGGGTTCATTTGATAGTGATGCTTTGTCAACAATATTTATGTCATATTATGATAAAAAAAGAAAATAAGTATTATATATTTTCTATAATAATATTTATTTAATATTATACCGATTTTTCTGGTATTTCACATTTGCTAGGAAAACTCTTGAAAAAATCGAAAAATGACTTCCTAAAATACCTTTTTAGTCAGATTTTCTTTCAGAAAAAAAGCTATCATTTTAAATCGGAGTGAAATTGCTGGTAGAAATGTTTTACACAGAAAAAAAGGCAATAATATTTTTTTACTAATACCTACATTTCGTACATTTTCCGTTTTTCGAATATTTTATCCCGGTTTTTCCCAGATATTATGAAAACCGCTTAAAAAATCAAAAAATAACCTCCCTAAATTACCATGGGAATACAATTTCCCTTAAAAAAAATTTAAAAAAATATTACGTTAAACTCAATTTTTTTTTCTGACTATAAAGTAAGACTTTTAATTTATCTTTTGTTAAATTTTGAAGCATTTCTGTTTACTACACAGTACCTACCGAATAAAAATTACGTATAAAACTCGCAAAATTAAAATGTTTATAAATAGCCAAAGAATGGCTTAAATTTTTAAAAATTTTACCACGTCTAGAAAAGACAAATATAAATTTTCTTTCTAAATTTCAAGTATCTACAAATATGCTTAACTGAATTACAACAAATAACATAATTTAAAAGTAATAATTTATTATTTTATTAGCATTATTTTCGTGAATTTCACGTTTTTCTTACTTTTTAACCGGGTTTTTCCAGATATTATGAAAACCGCTTAGAAAATCAAAAAATGACCTCCTAAAAATACTATCTAGATAATATTTTCTTTCAGAAACAGTGCCACGCGTATATATTTGAGCAAGATTTCTGGTAGAATTTTTGTACACAATATATAAAAAGAAAAAAAAGAAACATGTTAATAAAACCTATACATTCTTCGCTGCACTCAGAATATAAAATAGGTATTTAAAATAAATATTCAAATACATACAAAAAATATTATTCAGAATATGTATTCAAATGATAGACCTAAGAGTTTTATGTTATATATTTTTTAAAATAGGTACATGTTAAAAAAAATGTAAAGTAAAATTTGATTCAAATTATATATATTATATTATGATTATAGGTAACATGCATATGAATTATATTTTAAATATTGAAAATTCTGAAAAATGCTTAAATCAAATACTACCGGTTGAAATATTACGAATCTTTTAAAGTAACGCGTAAACAAATAAATGCACCGAATAAGTGCTTTCTGAAAAAATAAAACAAACTTTTTTAAAAAAGTTAAATATTTCACACTTTAAAATGAGACTAAAAAAATTTATTATTTTCAAGAATTAAAATACTTTTTAAAATTATTTGCCATGCCATAATTTTATTTCCCCCCCCCCTTAAAAAAAAAAAAAAAAAATTCTGTATGAATTCTTAGTCCAAATAATATTGGCCCTAAAAATGTGGCCTCTCGAAAATAGCTGACCCACAGTTATCAAACTAGATCCGCCACTGTTTACACGATTAATAATATTTATAAATACTTTTATATATGCATACGTCATAACTCATAAACCATATTATATACTCGTATATATTAACCCCGGCTGTACATCATTCTACCTGTATAATAACCTGAATTTTTGCGTAAAATAAAAAAAAATACCATACTGAAAGTTATGTACCAGCCATGATATTATACAAGTATTTTACTATAAAGCACTTAATATTATAACCGATTACTGGCGTGTAATGTGATGAATAATAAACGCGTTTGTATATTGCGCGGGTAGACAGTTTCACATCGAAATAAAAATTAAATCATTGTGGTTGGTATATCCTATACAGGGTGTCCCATGAAGATATACCAATTTAAATATTTCCTGAGATAATAAGGATAATCAAATCCTGGTTTTTTTTTTTTATATTACTAACAAGAATAAGGACTATAAATATTGATATTTGAATTAAATTGTTATGTTTTGGTAAAAAAAAACTAGAAAAATAACTTTTATTAAATTATTTTTGAAAAATTTGAAGATAGCCATTTTATAAAGTTTATTCTTCTGAAAATGTTGACGTATTAACATTTTATTTTCATTGAATTAGTGGTTTTTAATAATCTTTTAAAGTTCAGAGAAAAGAAGTGTACAGTTAATTAATCGAAATAAAAAAAATGTCTGAAATGTTAACTCTGTATAATATACAGATACTATACTATAATAAAACATTATAAGATATAAAATCGAACCGCTGAAAAATAAACGATTTAATAATTTACATAATAATAATAATAATAATAATTTTGATATACATGCACATTATTATATAATGACGTATGTAATGTATTTGAAATAATAATAACAATAATAATTGTACCATATTGTGTTGAGGTTGATCTGCAGTTGTTTTATTAATAATTACGTGTATTCAGTTGGCTCCCCGTGTTATCATATTAATACCAATAATGCGCAACTAATTTGCAACTATTTTTAACGATTGTTTCTTATTTTTCAACTCAGTAATCTTAACACAATTAAGTTTTAGACTCTGAGTGGCGCCAGAAATGTATTGGTTTTACAATGATGTTTTTTTTTTTAATCTTGGAACAACTTTTCTACTAGCAATTTCGCTTCGATTTACAATGATAACACTTTTTCTAAAAGAAAATCTGAATGGGGAGGTACTTTAGGAGGGTCATTTTTGATTTTCTCGGTTTTTTCAATATATTGGAAGAAAAACGAGAGAACAGAAAAATAGGTGCAATATTGAACAAATATTATTAAAGAAAATGCTTAATACATTTGTAATTATTTTACCATAATATGGCATATATTGTTGACAAAAAACACTATAAATCGAACTTCACTCAGTATCGTTTTTTACGTTTTTTTTCCAAATTTCAAGTTCGTAAAATCAATACGAATATTTTTAACTGACTTACAACAAATAACAAAATTGAAATAATAATAATAAAAGCAATATTTTCGTAAATTTCCCGTTTTTTAAGATCTATACTTTACTGGTTTTCACAGATATTATGAAAACCGCTTGGAAAATCAAAAAATGACCTCCTAAAAGTACTATTTGAACAATATATTCTTTTAGAAATGGTGCTACGAATACATATCGGAGTAAGATTTCTGGTAGAATTTTTGTACACAATACAAAAAAATAAACATTTTAGTAAAACCAATACATTCTTCACTACTTTCTGAATTTAAAACGTAGGTATGTGTGACCAATATTTAAAAAAGAAAAACAGTTCGGTTTGGTGGAATTTTTAAACAAAACTACAAATTGTATATTATTAAATAAGATATACGGTTATTTTTAACGTAAAATGTATTATTTTATTCGTATAAAAACGTGCCCTAGAATGACAAAATCAATAATACTACAATAAATTAAATACTAAACGTAATAATAATAGTAACGGCATTCCGGATGATACCGTAAATAAACAATTCATAGAATAGTAATTTATTATTCAACAATTCAAATTAGTCTATACCTATACATCCTACACGTGTACCCATACTTATATTAAAGTTTAACATTATATATAAATACCAATTCATTATTATTATCGAATGTTCTAGATTATAAGCATTGGAACGACGAATCAATGTATATACATTTTTTTTTTTTTTATAGTTGTAGCTAATATTTTTTGTTCTCTTTCAACGATAACGTCAATAACCATATTCCTATCTCATTTTAGTTAGGAAATAGTAATATACAAGTATTACGTATTATAGTCTATTAAAGAATACAAATTGTATACAATATTTTACCTATTTGTTGATTAGACATCTACGCATGTTCCATCGTCCTATTAAATTCATGAATATAATAGATTCACTGCAGATCGATATCGAAATAAATCATATTATTTAAATAAGATAACAGTTGATTTAACGGGAGCCCGGCAGTACATTTTTTAAGGAAGGTTTTTGTGTTCAAATAGACACACACTAGGGAGAAGCGGACATACATTCGAAATTTACTAAAAAACGGCCTACGGGGGCAGAACATTATTAAGAGCCTAAGAGATACTTTTCCGATCTCACGTTTCGTAAAACCCCAAAACCCCCGGACAAAGAAAATTGTGTAGTTTGAATTCAAATTATTTTGGTTTTATACGAAATAAATATTTATTAATATATTATAAAGAAGTATTGAAAGAAGAGTATGGAAATAACATATAGCATAGTATCAACTAAATTTATGAAGGACTACTAACAGTAAAGTAAGGATAAATTGACCATTTTTGAAAATTGTTCTGCAAAACAAACCTTCTCTACAGTTTTGAACCTGCAGTATATTTCTAATATTTTATCTTCAATATTATTCAACTGAAATTTCTTTTTACCGAATGGAACAAAATGTTCGATAAAAGGCAAAAAGTGTCAATGCACTCGAATCGATCGCATATTATAATATAGATACTATTATCTCAAAACTGAAAACAAAATTAACCTTTCTTTTCCCGTGCCATCCATTAGCTTATATGCATTTTATATAGATAGGTCTACGCGTTTCTCATAATATTATGTATATACACACAAAGTGTTCCATTTAAGTGAGTACATTCATTATATCGGAAATTATTAAATTTTTTCGTAATTTGTGGCAATTTGTGGCATAAACTATTTAAGAAACAAGCAGCTCTACAATTTTGCATTTATGTTATATTTTTGTCATCCTTATTAAAAAACCACTACCTACTATTGATTTTTAAATAGCAATGTATGTAAAAAATTCCTTAAATAGATGGAGTATCAATTAAAATAAATGTTAGTGTTAAAACGTTTGTTTTTCGTCAACCCATTGACGTCATATTCCTAGTGGTGTATTTACAGGGAGGATATGGGGTATAGATCTCTCTTGGCCTTTTTTATTTATTATTTCTGTACCCATAGACCTTGTGTAAGGTCTATGTCTGTACCACAACTGTAATCACTTGTAATCACAACTAACGATGTATGAAATATGAATATCTGATAATAATAATTAATAAGGAGCACATACAGGTAAAATTATACATAAATCTTTTATCTCAGTGGACCAAATGATAACGTTTATCGCAGATTTTTATCCACAGTCTCCTGTATTCTATTATCATATTTTATATTATGATCTAAGATTGTATTATACAGTAATTGGTTACTAGTTAGGTTAGGTTCATAATAAATGAAAACCATTATAATACTTATGTATACTATTCGGCGTTCTGTTTATACTTTCATTGCTCAAATTATAATGCATTGAATATTGAAACCACGATTTAAAATATATATATATTAAAGTGATATATATACATATATTAAAAGTGATATAACACTTATAGTAACATTTTAAATATATTTATATATTATTTTTTATTTTTCGATATAAATTACCTACTTGTTCAATAGCATCAAAAAAGAATACCCTGTTATCATATTTCACAATCAATAAACAAATTCTAAGAAAAAATAACGAGACTGAAGTAAGTGCTAATTTTTGTGAAATTTGAAATGTAAATTCAAGTTTTTGTGATATTTAGGTGAAATTACTTATAAGAAAAATTACAGAATTAAACAAATCTGCAGGGACCACAAATTCTTTAGAAAGTTTTAGTCAGGCATGCAATTCACAATCACAGGAAGTAATTAATTAGTTCATTGAATATAAAAAAAAATAAAAATTGTTAAAATGTGTTAGCATTGTTATTCTTAAAAAAAAAGACTAAATTAAGTAAGGTTATATGCTTATATAGGTTTATATGCTTTCATGATCACAGCTTATAAATTAATCACATGTAGATCGTTTAAATTATTTAGGTAATATATATTATATTATATATTTATTAGCATCAAATAGCAATTAAATGTCCATGTGTAAATCTATGTGTTTTATAAACCTATGTAGATCTTTATCAATGATCAATATAATCAGCTAAATATTTTATACATTTATTTCATTGTGTTAATTACTATAAAGCTATTATTAAGTTATTAATGTTTTTTGTTTATTATATTACTACGTTACATTATATTATTACGTTAAACTTAAAATGCTATTCTTTAATTAATACTGTCTTATTAAAATATACTTGATTACTTATGATTATAATATTATTATTATTATAGTTGTTGAATTACACATAAAAAAATATATTATTTTTTATGATTTTGGTTTATAATATAGTAATATTTACCGTTTTATTAGTACCCAGGAACCAAGCGAGGGGGTAGAATAATTTGTTCATAATACCCCCTTCCAAAAAAAAAAAAAGTGAACCCTTCAGTCAGTCAAATCAACATTAATTAGCCAGCTCAGAAACCTGAAAAGCAAAAAAAAAAATAAGGCTTTTGGCCCACTAGTTTCTCTGAAAATGTATTTCTAATTTCCTCCTCAAGAAAATCCTAAATACGCCACTGGATATTCCACTTTTAAATATGTGTCGGGGAAGAGAAGTGGTAAATTATAAAAATGCCGCGCGCTGTGTCGCCACAAAAATGATGCTCCACTACTCTCCCCCGACCCATACTTAAATGTGGAATATTTACGTCAACGGATTGATGGAAATTCAAAATGTCAGCATAGGTTTTATAATAAAGCTGACAAAAAATAACATAAATGTAAAATTATAGAGCTGTGTGTTTCTTAAAAGTTCCATGCAATAAATTCCGAATAAAGTAATTGATTTCGGATATAATGAGTGTACCTACTTAAATGAAACACCTGTATATTATTAATATACGGTGAAATTAATGTTTACACTATTAATTATAATATTGGCTCCTCTGCGATGTAATTAAAGTCGATGTGATAAAATTCCTATTTACGATTCTATTCGTATAAATATATATATATATATCTACTTAATTATGTAGAAATAATATTTAAAAAGTCTACCTGCGCGTGTTTCCGTATTACGAAGGGATGATCCCGCGTAATATCATAAATAATTTCCGTGTCTACTATTTCGGCAGCATTCAAGCGTATGTAATAATATTTCGAATGCGTATATGTAAATAATTAATTAAATTAATTAATTAGTTTTCTCTTTTGTGATGTACCTACATCGCAAGTTCCCGGCCGGTAAGAACACACCGCCATCATCAACGACGTATTGTTATCATCTCCACCGCACCGTATGCAAACGCGTCATCGTTTTCTATAGACGCGACACCATAATAATAATATTGTTACACCTACAACGTTGTCGTATTTCAATTACTATACTCACGATGACGATGCGTAAGTATAATGTTTATCTATATGAGATAATAATAATATTATAATCTAATTCTCCCGTAAATTACGTATATGTATGTACGCAATAGCATTAATACAGTCGATATAGGTAAGAATATATAATAGTATAATGTACTCGTGTATTGCGTTTTATATAATATTATAACGGGTACTCGAGCAAATCAAACGTTAAACAATTTTACACGGTGTAAACAATATCATATAATTATTTATTACTATATTACACGTTGTAAATTTGTTATATATTATGTTGATGGCGACGACGGTACCTACTTATAAATAATACGACGACGATGTGTGGAGGTATTACGGAATGTATTGATTTTTGTTGTTTTCTGTCAACCGCTGCTGTGCTACAGAAATTACAGGTACACCGCGGAATAACACAAAGGGACGGTAGATTGATGGATACCTACGAAAGAGTGTAATATTATATAGGTAACAGCTGCAGCTTCTCTTTGTCTTATAATGTATGACAAAGAGTCTCATATGCATATATTATATTTAATATTATAACATTATTCAGTTGTCCACAAATAACGGATCGCTGTGCGTACCTATAGTATACTATCTGGCAATAAATAATAGCACTAGGTGTATACGATACAAAAAATAAATAAGTAAAATTGCAAAACATCATAATTTATAAGTACGGAAATAAAAGAATAATTGACTAATAAATGACTAAAAAAATATATTAAATTATTATTATAATGAAATTTAAAAATTGTCTCAATCGTATTCTCACTATTCTGCCCAGCATAATACAGAGTGAACAAACATAGTGTAATATTCCTCGAAGTGTAAACATTTTTTCTGAACTTGTTTTTTAGAAGATTTAAGAAAATAGTGTATCAGTTAAAATAAGTTTTGCTGATAATTTTTACTAACTGAATTTTCAATATAGGTTGTTAATTTAAAATCAAAAGTAAGCAGTCGTTTCACCCCTTAAAATAAAGGCGACAAAAAATAATTGTAATGTAACATTTTAGAGCCACTTATTTTTTAAATGATCTATGAAACGAATTTCGAAAAAGGTGATCATTTCTGAGATAATGAGTGTCTTACGTTATGTTGATCAACCTGTATAAAGGTATATTTTAAAATATTTAGAATTAAATAAGAGATAATTGCTAGAATAATTTTATCTAGATTCTTGATGAAGACTAACATAACAATTTAATTATCTAGATACAGATAAATAATCAAGAACTTTTATAGTTTTATCTAAATAACAAAAATACATTTTATTCATTACCTATCATAAAACTGATAAAACCAAGTGCTGAAGCCTAAAAGAAATAAAATTGGATCAAATTTAGTACACATTTAAATTTCATAAAGATTGTGTAATTGATGCAACTTAATAACTTATTTATTAAACCATATTGATATAAATTAAATATTTTACTTATTTTATTTTGTATACATATATTCACAATATTATACATGTCCTACAGCGTTATTCATATGCTAATAACTCTATCAATATTCATTGTTTTTTTTTCAATCAGGTCTTGTGTCAAGCGACACAAATATGTAGAGAAAAATTAAATATTTATTTTCATCCCTTAATCACTGAAACAAATAACTTTTATTTTTTAACTTTTTAAAATTTTCAAATTAATCAATTTTTAAAATAAATTATTCTATACATTTTAATGTATCATACATACATATCCATTTAATAGTTTCTTAGTAATAGCCGTTTTAATTATCTAAAGAAAGGTGTGAAAAACGAGACTACCACGTTACGCGATAGCAAATCATAGTCGTAATACAAGATAAGAAATGTTGAAATTAAAACGGCTAATGCTAAGAAACTATTGATAGGTGTTGCGACCTACTCACGATTAAACTAAATTTTTGACCGCATCTAAAAATGGACGATAAACATCAATAATAGTATCGTTCGTCATGAGATCTTTTTGAAATTATAACAGAGGTTAAAATAACGCTCACTTAGAAACAATATATATAGACATGTAAATGAAAAATAAATTTTCGGTTACGTGAAGAAGAAAAAAAAGTAATTAGGTAAAATAAATTATGTATTGTGCAATGTACGTATATATTATTATACCAATGTGTACCTATATAAATTATGTAATTACGTAAACGTGATCCAACGTTTTGGAAATTTTATCTCGATAGAAAAAAAAGAACAAAGTGAAGAAATGCAATTTTATTATATTATACGTTCGTGTGTGCCCCGAATCTCTGTCAGCGCCCAGAAAAACGTTAACGAGCAAAGAGAAAAAAAAAATAGCATTTACGAAAACACGAAATGTGTTTACATCCTTTAGTTTAATCGAGTCCGCGAAACAAAGTGAATACCATTTCCGTTGAAGTACTTACCTACATTATAGGTACCAGCTTTCAATGATATGTCTAGAAATTTTCAATAACAGAGAATATGTAGTAAATAATATTCATGAATTAATCGTAAAATCTTCTTCTCTACTTAATTTTTAACTCTATAAGAAATTAAAAGCCGAATCCCAAAAATTCAATTTTTAATTAATAAGACAAGTTTTTCTTTGTAACTTGGTTGAAGGGAAGGTACTTTAACGAGGTTAATTTTCGATTTTTCCAAGATTTTTTCCAGCAAAAGTGAAAAACCGGGAAAAACATTGGAAAGCCAGGAAAAACGTAGAAAAGCGGGAAAATCGCTACAATACTAAACAAATATTATTAAAGAAAATATATAATGCCTGTTTAATTACTTTACCATATATATATATATACTGTTGACAAAACATCACTATCAACGGAACTCCGCTTAGAATCTAAAACATATTATTAGTATTTGGTTTTATATGGATAAAAATTTAAATTGTTTTGGCCGAAAAAAAACCTTTTAGGTTAAATTTTACATTTAAAATTTGTTTAGTGAATACAGCCTAAATGACAACGTTATTTATAAAATTTTGATGATAATGCGGACTACACAATATCGCTGTATGAGTTATAATTTTCTAAAAGCAGGAAAACCACAAAAAGCTAAAAATAACAATAATAACAACATATGCCTACTAGCTAGTAATAAAATAAAAATAAAACCAAAATTGTATATAACTTCCTCGTTGACATAAACCAATTTTGAGACTATTAAAAATCTACTTTCATCATAATTTGCATGCAATTTCCGGAGGGGGCCTAACTCCCTCCTTGTAAACGCGCTTGATCGTACTTAGTGGTCAGCAAAATTAAGTTGAAATTCAATAGTTTTTTTTTTTTTTTATAAGCGTTTTAATAAATATCACAGCATTTCAAGACATATTTTACCGGACTTGACTCAAGATCGTTTTTCGTTAGTAATGTTGTACCGCTTTGTATAGTTATAAACTATAAAACAATTTCTCTTACCTTCCATACTTCCCATTAACAACAGTGGCATACCCGACACCTGCAGTATCAGGCGACTATCAGCTCTTTTATTGTTTTATTACAATTTTTTGTCTACTCTATCACGCTAATTGTAAATCGCAGTAGAGACACCGTAGCAAATCTTTTTGAAAAAATATACGATTACTACTTATAGGCGTATTATTTTTAGTTGAAATCGGTTTGATAAATTATTTCATTGAGTTTTTCATAATAATTTCTGTATAATATATATATTGTATATATACGGTGGAATTTCGATTCGAATAAATAATTATTTCACCTGTCCCTGATACACCCATATATGTAGTACAAGTACAGATGTGTGATGCGTGTGCCACATTGTCATGCATATATTACTATTAAAATGGCGATGGCGGTATTTTACGTGGTAGGTTTTTTTTATTTTTTTTTTTTAATCTTTTCTCACCGTGTAAAACACGCGTCAAACGGGCGATGCATGTACTCGTATTTATATAATTCGACGTTTGGGGAATTTGTTCTCGCGGGAAGTACATTTGAAAAGAATACCTATGTATATATAGGTATATTTTAGGTACCCGCCGAGTGGAGATGAAACGCAATTACTTTTCTGTGTTATACGCGGTACCGAATCTTCATCGAAATCGTTCGGAAGAGCGGAAAAAATAAATCGCATTAACTATATATAAGCCTACCTAATATATCTATATACTCTGTTGTAGTGCGCATATAACCCGGACGGCACAATCGAGTCCGGGACAAAGAGCCGGCGGTGCGTGCAATGAATGTTCTATCACACTCACCTGTGTATATAATATAAATCGTTTTCGACTTATCATCGCCGCCAGAGTTCGAAGCTACCATCAATTAATAGTGGTGTACGGACACGTCTACACGTGTAGAGGTACCATGATGACCGGTCATCCATTAACATCCTTTGAGCTTTCTTTCGAGCTTACGATCGATCGACTTTAGTAGGTAGTTTTTAGATTCGCGGCGTTGCGAAGAATCTATTGTATTTACTATAATATGATGTGTGTTTTAAATTTGTGAACAATTTTTCTACCAGAAATCTTGTTCCCATATGTATAGAGTTGAGCGCCTTTTCTGAAAGTTAATTTTCTCTAATTGGTGCATTGGAGAGGTCAATTTTTGATTTTCAATGTGGTTTTCAAAATAAACGTGAAAAACTGATAACACATTTATTGGATAAATGACAAATATTTACGCTACGCCACAGTGTTACTACTAGACATACTGCTCTCCAATCGAAAAATGACAAGAGATCAATTTTATTTCATTTAATGCATATTTATTGAAAAGAAAGTCATTTTTTGATATTTAAAAAAGTTGTAATTGGAATAATAATTGGAAAAAACCAAAAAAAAAAAAACCAAAAATACGATGTTTTTAAAATTACGACGCAACGATTTCATTATTTAAAATGTTTAAGATTATATTTTTCTACCAGACATCTTTTTATCCGAATTTCAAGAGAGCATATTTTCTGAAAGAAAATGTTGTCTAGTTTGTAAGTAAGAGAGTCATTTGATTCAGAGAGTCAGTTTTCCTAATAATCACGAAAAACCATGAAA